TTTGTGTGTGTCTCATGCTGTCGTAGAAAAGGAAAGTTGCTGTTGCTCCGACTAGCTGGCCGGCAGTAACGTAAATGTCCTCTGACAGCGTGTACCTAAACATTTACCACCTCGTTGTATGATGTGATTTTTTTCCCTGTTCCCAACAAAATGAGACGATGAACTGCCTTCCCAGAACAGCAACTCATGCACTCAAATACATATGATAGTTTTTGTAATAATACCCATTCTGGAGTATGAAAACTCTACATTGACAGGAAGAACAAAAGCAATTTTACTTAAACCACACTGGACGAGAGATGTATGACTTGTGACCTGTAATCATGACCTGTAAGACATAGCAGATCCTGTCCCCATCAAAACAGCAGCACAGACAGTTGGTATTGTTACAGCCACTGACTGCTACTCTCTTTTCAAAAGTTGTAATTCATTCTTATGCATGCTGCACATGGTTTAAAAGCCACAGTGTTTAGCTAACTTGCAGAGTGGGGTAAACTACCCAAATCTGTATTAATCACGGAGTTGCTAAGTAGCTCAACGGTGTATTACAGCAAAGCTATTGGTGATTGTTTCATCTAAGTGGATGGAAGATGATTATTCAGTTTGGGAGGTATAACCATGGATGTATGAAGAGACCTGGATACAGTGTTGGAGGCTGGATTCTGTTCATTCCAATGAAATTTGCCCAGTGGCGCATGAAGCTAAAAAAGTTTGATTTCCAAGTACTAACATTACCCAAATGATCAGCGCTGCTTCAGCATTATTGGGCTCATAGAGGAAGCGCACTAGGGACCTCCGCTGGCTGAGCTGTCTACTTCTGGTTTGGCGCTCTGCTAACTTGAATGGGGATAAAAAGATTAATTCTTGCTGCGCATCTTGACAATCCAAATGTTATAGGACCAAAGGGATCAAGTCATGATAGTCACACAAATCATTTCCGAAGGGTGGTGATGCTCAAAAAATTTATCCACTGATTTACAGACATCTCTTTCCCAATGTAAGTCTATGGGAAAAGGGCCCAATGGCATCAAGTGACAGGCTTGGGAGTTGAAGTTCTCACCATTTGGCCACCATGAAAATTGGCTTCAAAGCCTGGCTATAACTCAATTAAAAAAATTTTAAAAAATATAGGTGGTCTACCCTAGTCTGCTAGTTAGCAAATTAGTCAAGACAACTTGCAGACTACTGGGGTAGTGGATAAAAAGCTAAAAGGTTTTACATTGAAAAGCTAATGCTAACTGTTTCATGTAAGTGAATGGAAAATGCTAAAACAATCAGCGCCATATTCCGGGAGGTAGAGTTTGATAAGAACACAGATTTTGGTGGTCTAACCTAGTTTGTTAGTCAGTCTTTTTGGCTTCCTAACCAAATAGGGTCCGTATGATAGTTTATGCCATGGCAGCAAAACGTTATAACTAGTGACTGAAAGGTAAATACAGTGGTAATGTTAGTTAAGCTGAAAGGGAGCTGATCAAGCTTAATCTGATCACACCACCACAACCCAGACAAATGGTGTGAGCAGTCAAATTAGCTGTTTTTGAACAAGGTTTTTAACAATGACAGACATTTATTTTTCCTCACATTTTTATGGATGCTTTCTGAGACACTCATTTTTGACATCATAAATGGATTTTTACTATTTCTAGCCAAGTTTCCAGTGGCTTTAAAGAAAAATCTCTAAATATCTTTGTGTATGCTGTCAATTATAGTTTTTAGAGAGAAAGGAAATTGGAATCAGCCAAAATTGGAAAGGGCAGGTCAAACTATTATAAAAAAATCGGAAATTGGAATTAGCCAACAAAATTGCAATCGGTGCATCTCTGTATTTTACTTTAAACAGGGTTTTAGAAGTATTTCCTGATCACAGTTAAATACTCATTTACAAGTAGCCTATACACTGAATTCACAAGACTGTTGTGAATGGTATATTGCAGTGGGGAGCTTGTATCTGCCACCATCACCTGGATGCACCTCAGCACCATGTTCTTGTTATATGTAATTCAAGATGTTCTGGTGAAAACATGTCAAGCTCCTTCTTGTAATTAGGCTCACCAATGGGGCATATGAGAGTGTGACATTTGAGCTTGGCATCACTGCAGAATTATGCCAACATAAAGTCAAAATGTAGCAGAAATACACCACTGATGCTGGCATTATTCTTTATTTCTGTTACTGTCAACAAATGTGTTTGCATATCTCTCATTACCGTCTGATTTCCCTACCCTGTCTGTGGCTGTCAGCTCTAAGCCCATTGGTTCCCACTGAAGATGTAAAAGTTTAAAAGCAGCCCCACTGTTATGCAGTTTCATATTGTTAAAAAAAGTCCCAGTAATTTCCCAAAAGTTTTAGTTACTGTAGTTTTCAGCAATCATTAGTCACACCTACTTTTTGCAGATCTATTTTCTGTGGCAGATTAATCAACATTTGGTGCTCTATTGAGTATTTGTGGCAGCAGGACTGTGTATGTGGGATTGAGTCAAAATAAACTACAGTGCGTGTGTTCATGTTAATGAAGGAATGTGTCACCCAGTGCAGCAGTGTGGCTCACTGATGTGTTTTTAATAGTTTTTGGACAATAATAGAGCTCTGTGGCATAGAGGAAGGCTTTGGATGCACACACAATTCTTGTTAGAAAGATTAATTGCTGGTTTGGGTATACACACACAATTTGTTGACAAGAAGATTTATGAAGATGTATAACACTCCCAGCTGTAGCAGCAGAATGTCATCTCATAAGCCCTTACTCTCAGATAAGTGTAGCTGGTGTCACCTTGAAGTGTGGAGTTTTGTTTTTATTTACCATACATTAACAGTTACATATTCAACTGACCTATATTCAATAAGCAAATACTGAATAAATGCTGTCTGATCTATTTACTCTTTGTTAATAAGTGTTTCCTTCCTGGCAGATGTGTTTTTTAAAAAATGAAAACCTTTTGGCTCTTCAGAAAGTAGACATGAAAGCTGAACTCTCAGCACTAAATTGTGTCTGAAAGTGGACCTTGTGACATCAGTGTTGAATGAGTCCCCTTCAAGGCTACCATCATAACAGCTTCGCTGCCTCCGATAAGATGCAACCAGCCGATATGACTCAGCAGAACCATCCTTTTTCTGTCTTGTTTTCTCAGTCCTGGACCTGAGTCTGACTCCCACTGGGAAGATTGTGAAGACAGTAGGGGACACCTTATCTGTGAAGGTGCAGAAGAGCTCCTCGGGTGACGCTAAAGAGTCATGGACAAAGGTAATGGTGTCAGGGTTGGTTTGCTGATCAGAGACAAGTGGCATCAGTGTACTGTGTTAAAGAAAATAAAAGTAAAGCCAGTAATCAAACCTGACTGCAGAATCACACTCTGATCTGTTACATAATGTGAATAATGGTTGGATGTTGATGATTTCTTTTTCCTTCAACACATCAGGAGCTAGATGGTAGCATCAAACTAATTGTTCTACACTGTATCTGACAGAGAGCTCAGCCTAAACAATAAAATACATTAAGGAGAGCACATTATGCTGCATTTATAGAAGGGATGGTAGATTTAGAAGTGTTTGCAAAGGGGCAGCTGTTAATCAAAGGCTTATCCACAACTGAAGTAGAGTAGTAGTATTAGTAGTATCTTAGTAAGATACAGTTAATGTATTGGAGTCAATTTATTCTAAAAAAAACCAAAATAATAGGAGAAAAAGCCAGTGGTGAAGTACAGAGGTGGGTCCAAGTCATTGCTTTGCAAGTCTCAAATAAGTCTCAAGTCTTTGCACTCAAATCCCAAGTCAAGACAGGCTAGACCTGAGTTGAGTCCAAAGTCAAGAATGGCAAATCCCAAGTCAAGTCATAACATGCACTTCACTGAATGTTTACAACAGAGTAATATTATATTACATTTACAGAATTAATTAATACTTCTTAAAATTTGTATTTATCTGTTAAAACAACATTATTGGAAGTTGTTGCATCTCCATATGTAATTTTCAACCTGCACGTTTTGCATACTGCAATTCGGCTGGGAATGAAAAGCATTACTATTAGTTTCTTTGGGAAATGAAGGGAAAAAAATTGACTCGTGGCACTTTTTACTTTTAAATCTTTGGCCTTGACAGAAGGTATCAAGTTGGGTTGGGGAAAAGAATCTATAGTATTTATATTTTTGTGTGGCAATAAGTATTGTTTTTTTTATTATATTAATTGTTATTATTACAACTACAAACTAAATTTATGGTAGCCTACTAGAACACCATAACAGCATAGTTGCTTTTTTCAGTTTACTGGATACAATTTGCTGCAATAAAAATGACTGAAGTGACATGAAGAGACTAAAAACTTTATTTTACCAGATAAAACTGTTGACATTGACAAAGTTTTCCTTTGGGGACATAATTTGCCACTGGAAAAAGGTCATGGCTTAAGTTTAAGTGAAGTCACGAGTCATTGGTGTTCAAGTCCAAGTCTTCTGTATTCGTCAAATCAAGTCTAAAGTCGTCAAATTTGTAACTTGAGTCTGACTTGAGGCTAAGTCATGTGCCTCGAGTCCACAGCCCTGGAATTTCCACTGAATTGCACATCATGTGACCCTGAACAGGAGAAGTGGTTATAGATGCATAGATGAAACTGCCGTCTTGCCTTCATACATTTACAGTTCTTCCTTATTATTAGATTTGTGTTACTGTGACATTTAAATTTAAAGTTACAGCCATACTTAGCTTAAAAAAAACATGCTGACGTTGTGACTCTGCTTTTCAGAATGGAATGGCACTGAAGGAGCTGGAGTTGACCAACTTGACCTTTGCTGATGCAGGAGTCTATGTATTGGAACTTTCCATGACTGGCCTCATGCGACGTCAGAGCTTTGAACTGGTTGTAGAAGGTGAGGAAGTGTGTGTGTGTGTGTGTGTGTGTGTGTGTGTGTGTGTGTGTGTGTGTGTGATAGTAACCCTTGTGCTTGCTGTTATGAGTGGAACACTAAAAATGTCACACTCATATTTAGTCGGACAGACTTCTTTTCTTAAAAAAAAAAGGCAAACATGCCAGGGTGTAAGTGTTTCAATCTGTTTTTGGGAGATCATAACAACTCTCTACATATCATGAAATATGTGTGTGTAATGAAATGTTAGTGAACTAAACAATGTGAGTGACAACATAATGTGTTTGAAACAGGAAAGCCTGTGATCACCAGACTAACCAAACACCGTGCTGATGACGCTAGTTACAAAGTTCTGACCTGCGAGGCTGAGGGAGTACCAGAGCCAAGCTTCCAATGGAGCGTCAATAGCACAGACGTAAGTGTTGGAGCATGAGTGAGAAAGTGTGTGTGTGTGCTTAGTGTCTTTAGTGGAGAAAAAGAAGCTGCAGCAAAATGAAGCAAAATAGCAAACAGTGCAGTGGGGTGTCAAAGTGTTCTTTAAGGAGCCTTTCAGAGTTGGCTTAGTTCTTTGCAATAAAAGTGGAGCGCTCCTGCTGAGGCTTTCACTCTTTTCTGCCATTGCTCCATTATGACATTCATCTGTACAGTGCTGTATCCCTGAGGCTGTATGCATAGAGCATAACTATGTCTTAGCAGCCATTGTATATTGGAACTTGTGAACAACCTCGCTCACTGCTGGAGTCAAAATGCATCAGATGCAGTTGAGTGAGGATAATTTCAATATTTAAGATTTGGATTATTTTATTTGTCCCTAGAGAAATTTGACTTGGACATAAAAACACATATTGCAGAAACAGACATAAAGTGCACAACACAGACAGGTGCAAACATAAAGTGCATTCAGATATGTGTATCACCAGCCCTCATTTCACACCCTCCTCATATCCTGAGTTAAGAAAATTCACTGACAGAGGGATAAAAGACTTTTAGGTAACTCCTCCTGTGGTTAATAGGAACCTCGTAGCATCTACCTGATAAGAGCAGTTCATATTCTGAAAACAGGGCATGGGAGTGGTCTGCAATAATTTCCCCAGCCCATTTAACTATAGTCATTACAAAGAGCATTTGGAGGGAGAGGTGCCTATGTAATCCCCAATCACTTTCATTGCTGTGTGGACCAGTCTATTTATTTGTTATTTTAACTTTTCTGATAAATTACCAAACCAAGCTGAGTTCTGTAGCGTAATATACTCTCAATCAGAGCATGATAAAATAACAGCATTACTATTCTAGTGCATACATAATTCACACAGATATTCCAAGATAGATCACAGGCAATATGTATACCCCAGTATTTGTACGATTTTTTGTGAAAAAATACAAAAAAAAAAAGAAAACCATTTTAAAAAATCTGTTCTCAACTATTATGTGAAAAAAGCATTACCACACAGCTGAAAAGTCACAAGGTTAGGGGTTAGAGGTTAGGGGGTTAGTACCATTTGGAGATAAGTGATTTTCACAGGACAGCAACCATACGCAAAAATGTGCTGCATTCACCAATGGAAACTATTATTCCTGCAGTTTATCGTGATGCTACTTGTGTGGTCTTGATCCAATATTGGCCTCAACAGGACAATTGAGCAGCTTTAAGAGCAGAAGTGTGGGTGATAAAATAGTCCCGCAAATGTCCTGGATCAAAAAAATGAAGTTTACAATGAAATAATGGTAATCCCACCATGGTGCAAACTTTTTAGCCTCCACAGTGAAGCCAGATATTTCAACATCTGTATCCATAAGCCCCAAGTTATCAGTGTCACAAGAGAACTTGTACAATCATTTGCTTTTTTTATGTAAACAGAATAAGGGGAAACTCACACATCCTTGAGGAATGCCTGTGGTAATGACTTAAGGCTCAAATAATGTCTGGTTTCCTGGCTGGGTCCGGTTGGTTAAGAATGAGTGATGCCAGCTAATGATGTATGGATTAACACACATCTGTCTGAGCTTCAGTTCTGCTCTTAAAGCTACTTAATTGTCCTGTTAAGGCTAACATTTGATAAATTGTGGCAATTTCTCATCACAAGTAGCCTCACAATAAACTGCATCATAAAGTAGTTGCAAATGGTTGCTGTCATGTGAAGTCACATATCTCCAAATAGTTAACCCTAACCTCCTGACTATTCAAATAATGATATTTTTTTCAACCCATAAAGGCGCACCTCATCCTTGAATTTAAACATGACATGATTTTTCAGTTAGCAGTGATAGTGCACAAAAGCTAGATCTTTACAGGGCATGATAAAACATATTGTAACAGTGCCATGAATGTGTTAAAGAGGTCCTGGCCCTGATATTGAGAGATCAATGGAAATGCAAACAGTGTTGCACATTCTGGTACACTGAGGGAGATTTAATAAAGAATAGTTTTTTAATTAGCCAAAAAATTCTGTGAGACAGGCTTTCTACACCGTGTGGGTGAAGTTCAGCCTCAGTGCAGACTGTGATTCACTCCTATAAATATTGTACTTATCAAGATGCTGTGTGATGAAGTGCTCCAGGCCTCATCATGAGCAGGTAATGCTCTAACAACGAGGCAATATGTCTCTGCTGGATTCAGGTTTGTTGGCAAGGAACAGGATGTTTTGTGTTTACTCCTGCATTCAGAATGAGTTTGCAGTTTTCTGCTTACTGTCTCCCCGGACTCCCCTCCGTTGGCAGAGTTCAGCACTCCTGATGTCGACATTTGCAGTATTTTCCTCCTGCTCTGACTTCCCACCATTTCACAGTTCCCCACCTGTCAAGCAATACACATCCTGTAGAATGGAAACGTTGATAATGTGTGTGCAACTAAAGAAGCTGCTACATGTGTGAGATTTCTTCCCCCAAAAATATGTTCCCATATCTTCTTCCTGTGACTGTTTTTCTGCTGTGCCTCCAGGAGGAGAGCTCGTACTCTAACGGCAAGGCCATCCATAAAATCACTGTGGTCCCCAGGGTGAATCTGACTGTCACCTGCAGCGTCAGCAACAAGCTGGGAGAAGATACCAAGACCATCAATGTCGCCTCTGGTAAGTTAATGCTTGTCAGGAAGTTGGTTGGTTGGCTTTGTTTTCCCAATTGTGGGACATGAGAGAGCTGCAGTAATGCTTCTAAGGGAGAGCTCAAGTTCTACGTCTTTGAGGAGACAAATCATGTATTTTCACTCGCTTTGCTGTGATTCTGCCTTTTGTTGTTTTGAGTCAATGTATTTGGCTAATTAGGCAGTATTAGTTGAAAACTGCGACCAATTAGTCAAATTAAAGTTCCACTCTTCTTACAGTGTTCACACAGACATTTGCTGTGTAGTGACAGCTCCTCACAGCCAATAACCTTGTTGACCGTCTCCACATGAGTTTTTTCTGCAGCTCAGTACTGCAGGAAACAAACAGGCTGCTGGTGACTTGATGTTTGCGTTACTGCCAGTGTGACTTCACAGTCGGAGGGAATTTCGCCAGCAGCTTTGCAACAAAAGATGTAACATGAAACAGGACAACACTGAAACAACTCAAAGCCTCTCTGCAGTTGAGGGCAATCAAGTTGCTTGGGTGTGAGCTATCTTATCTTTAATGGTCAACCCAGACAATAAGAAGAGAAGATAAAACTTCAGTCATTGGCACAGTGTTGTTAGATCATCGCACCAACATAATATGATAGGATATAACAAGCAATAGAAGAAGAATAGAAGAATACAAGAAATATATAGATTGGATTATGAGTATAAACATATTTTTAAAGCTGGCATTGAAGCATTGAAGCAAAACATACTGAGAAAAAGAAAGTTATCTAGTAATGTCTGGAATATAAGAATACACCAAACATTAAATATATGAATTATGAATGATACGGACATCTAGAACAACATGTCATCCCAAGACTCAGTTCATCCCATGTGGAACCCATTTCAGCAGTAAAAACAATAAAATGTGATCAGCAGTATTCTTACATTTTCAATCCCATCACAGCAGCGTTGTGGTTGAACAGTGGGGGTCAGGCACTATGATGCTGACAAAATAGCTTAAGCATCGATTTCTTTGCTCATCACACTGTTGTTCTTTGCAGCTTTACACCCGTGGAGAAAGTTACTCACTGTTAATGTTTTAGGACTGCTGGGGTTCTTTCCTTCTTCTGTGGGATACACTGGCATAGCAACTATACTATATATATACTATACCATACTATACTATACTTTTGCAGGTTTTGCAGGTTTTGGTGATGATGATCCTGGCTTAAGTCAGAAGACATCGATCTGTAAGCTGTTGTTACAGACAGCACTTGAATGTGGAGAGACTTTAAAGAGACAGTTCACCTAGACCTACAGCTATTTATCAGTCTAGATTGTTTTGCTGGGAGTTGCCGAGTATTTGAGATATCGGCCGTAGAGATGTCTGCCTACTTCAATATAATGTAACTAGATGGCACCAAAAATTGCTTTTAAAAAAAAGAAAGCATGGCCCAGTCACTCAAGATAATCTGCAAACCTTATTGTGAGCAGTTTAGTGTGGGAACTATTTTCTTTCTGTCGAACTACACCTGCCAACTGTATCACTGTGGAGATGGAAACGTGCATCTACTCATTGACAAGAGGCTCGTGCTCAGGACAGCGTGAGATGTAAACCTATATGGCGTACTCCTCAGCTGAGCTGTAATGTTAGCTAGCATGGTTGTGCTAGGTGAGCTAGCAGTTGATGCATGCGTCCTCCTTCTCGAGTTTTTTAAATGTATTTTTTGGAGCACCACATCTCTACTGCCGATATCTCTAACACTCGGTAACTCACACCAAAACAAGCTAGACTGATAAATAGCTATACAGGTAAGAGGAAAATATGTAGTTTTGATTGTATTCAGTGAACTGTCCCTTTAAATTGTCTTTCCTGTCATTGAGGAAACTGTATAATTATCATTTTCCACAAGTCATATAAACATATCGTCAACAGCACTTACTTGCTGAATCTAACAGTTGCAGAATATGCTTATATTGAAATGCGCGCAGTGAAGGGCACCAATTACTTACACTTAACACTTCCTTCCTACACTACACTTCCTTACACTGTGCCCACCATGGATACTGGAATGAAATCAAATAAAACAAAAAGGATTATTTAACCAAAGCCTGGGACTGTCAAAGGCTAACGCTAAATGCTACAGTGACATCAGTTCATACATTCATTCTGTGCCATTGCTGTTCATCCTCATTTGTTCTGTCTGTCTTTGACAATCATCCTTTCTTTTGTCTCTTCACTATCTCCTGGGTCTGGCTGTATTTCTTCTTTGTTGGGGTGCTAAACCTTGCTCGCCTATTTTCCCTGCAGTGTAAGAGCCACTGCCTGGCAAATGCTCTGAAAGCATAGTAAATTGTTGCTTTTAGAATGTATTGTTGCTTTCTCCTTTCCAAGGTACACTTTGCTTATTGTAAGGCACTATCAGAACAAAAAAAAACAACTTTTGTGAGGCTACACCTGGCCAGGCCTCTTTTATGTTTGATGAGTGTAGAATCTTGTTTGGCTTCAGGGTTTTTAGACAAACAGCATATATATGTTTTGTTTGCCTTTTGCTTTTATGATTTCTAATTCATTTATGTTTGATTTCAGTTTTTAAGGAGAAAAGGGAGGAAGAAGGTAAGATTTTGTTTTCCTTTGCCCTTATCTTTTACTTTCTAGACACTTTTCAGTAAGCTCTGCTGAGTTTCTTATTTATTTATTTTTCAAAATGTTATGGTATTCCTGAAGTAAAACATACTATCTTGGCGAATTGAACTAAAGTGTTACCCTGGTGGATTCTCTGATGATGCACCCAACACTCACCACTCTGTCTTCATGCATAAACTGAGCTACATTCATTACTTTACCTGTAGACGATACTGTGTGTGAACATTTATCCTCTCAGCTTTTCCATCATCATTATTTATTTTTTTAACTGGCTAACTCATGCAGACAATTATGAAGAGTGCCTGATGATTATTAAAGGACACCACATAATTAAATGATGAAGACACACCAGTCCTATCCTTGTGCCATTGATAATGCCACCATTTGGACAACATATGCACATGGATAATAGGACACTATCTGTTAAAAGCATTTGTATTCAAAGTACAATATATGGTCTTGTAGCAATAAAATCTCTGCAGATATAGTATATTTAAAAGATGACACTTCAGTAGCTCAGTGTAGCTGATGTTTTTTTTAAACTATGTTAGATGAGTCATCATGTTTCCGTCCTCTGAATAGTGATTTGTAGCTGCACACATCAACTCCTATGACCCACCATCCTTAGTTCCTGTCAATAAAAACAAGTCACTGTAACCCTGAATTATACTGTAGTAAAAAAGTATCGGCAAATGATGCACGTCAGCGATGGATTCCACACACCTCACCAGCTACCCTCACACTGTCATTCAGCAGCTTTAGCACCGCCTCCTGTGACCTGGTGAGAAAATGGAGAGTAATGAGTCAGACTTAAACATTCATTAGACTGGTATGAGTAATTGCTGAATATATTTGTGATGAAGCACAACGTCAGTTACAGAACCGTTGACAGGAAGGCAAAGATACAGTCAGTATTAAGGAACACCCACAAAACGTCACATCCTTATACACCAAGGGGGGAAACAAAGCATGTTACCATGCTGATGAGGTGCTGTTTGGCTTTCTGCACATCAAATAAACATAAAAATCCAGAGTTAAAGGAATTTTTTCAATCTGGAACCTATTTTCCCATGTTTTTATGTCAAAGTGACAATGGGAACATTTTTTCTTACATTGGTCCAGTATTGAGCGAGACAGCTGCAGCTCAGAGCATGTTTTGCACCATTAATTTACATCCACTAAGAGCATTTGTTTTTGCCACTAACAGGCTCAGACTGTTATTCTAAGTGTCTGACAAATTTATGGAAAGGATCCCTACAGAGATAGACATTTTTGTTAAAGAGTAAGATCCTTTTTGTTGAACTAGAAACAACCCCAAAATCAAAAAGGCAGTTGTCAAACCTTCCAGTATCAATTCAGTAATTTTATCATTGTAAAACAAGTAAAACTCACAATCCCGGTTCTTCTTTTCACTGTTTTAAGATGACCAACTGTGATTTGGTTTAAATAAACTCGTAGTTCTCCTAGTTAGATGTGAGAATATGCAGGCTCTATACAAGCTAAAATTACAGTTTATGTAAATGGAGACTGGTGAGTTTGGTAAGGATGATTTTGGGGCTGATCTAACACTTTATCCAAACAGTGTTAGATTGTTTAGTGACTGGTTATACAGTTGTCAGCCTCCAAGGAGCTGTATTTCTTGAGGCCGCAAATTCCTGTGTGATCAAAGCACATTGTCAAAACACAGGCTAATGGCGTTGAGTAACATCAGCACTGCCACTGCCTTAAAATGTGGATGGAATTCACAAAAAACTGAACCTAGTCTATTGCATCACAGCGTTATTGGCTGTAGGGTGTCACAGGGTATCATGTTAAGTTTAATGAATCATATCTATAGTAAATGGAATTTTTTCCTATATGTTTTTATGTGACTTTAAAAACTGCACTGTCCCAGCATTTACAAGTTTGGGGAAAGGACTGTTCCCCCCTCTCCAACCCCGTCACCACACTCTCCCAAGTATAACTAGACACAGACCGGATTTATTTTCTCGTCTCCCTGACACACTGATAATCCTCTCCTGTTCTATTAAAGAAACACACCAGCCACCATCTCCAAAATATTCAATATTTCATTGTGTACTGCTGATGTTTCCTGGAATATAAACAAAACTTTTCATGTAGCCCCAGATAACAACCAAAACAAGTTTCCCAAACACAAGACAAAGCAATAAAATGTTGAGGAAGTGTCATTTTATTGCTACAGTATAAACCAGTGCAACAGAGGAGAGTTTGTAAAGGTGGTGGGATGCTGGCTGTGTGTAGTGTTAGCTCGAGCTAAAATGTTGGCATAGAGCTTCACAGTGAATTATCTCCCTAGGATGTGTCATGATTTTGGTGTCTGTGTTCTCACAACAGCTAAGTTCAAACAGTCTGTCAATGAATTCCTTTAGGTGCTCAGTTGGAAAGCTTCTGTGTGAGTGTTTGAGTGTGTGTGTTAGTCATACAGCTGAAGTAGAGTGCTGCTGTCTGTTGTCAGGTTCTCAGGAGGAATCAGAGGACCAGGCAAAGCTCATAGTGGGAGTTGTGGCAGGGCTCCTCATAGCTGCTGCTGTGGTGGGACTCATCTACTGGCTCTACATGAAGAATTCAAGGTATAGAAACACACACTGGTGCACAAACCCAAATCTGTACTACACAAAGTGAATTAGAAAGACAAAAAGGAAGGTGAATAAGGGATACACTCACAGTCTCTTACAGTAGATCAAGCCAACATTTCTGCATGCCCTTAAATGATCACGTCACAGTGTTGCACACGGAAGCTGTGAACAGCCGTGCTTTAAAAACCTATTTTTGATGCTGTTATCTTGCGATCACAAGGTATTATTTAATTATCTTGAGAAAACAAGATTTGTCATCTGGAGCTATTTACAAAAAGGTTGTTTCCTCTTGCTAGGCTACTTAAAATGTTATTAGAGATCAGGAGTGTCAACATGCATAACTGACATCTTGACAACTGTAGAAACTGATTCAAGCTGAAAATATCAGATCAAGTAGTACCCATAATTGATATTATTGATTGCAATAGATGGTAATGGTAATAAAGTGGTAACAGGGTGTCTTCTTGTGTGCACAGAGCCTCTGGTTTGCACAAGAGGCACAGAGTAATGGTAATAAGGAAGTAATTCACTTGTGACCTTGAGAAACGACATTAAAAATATAGTTGCAAGCATGGCCGTTCTTGGCTTCCATAGATATGCAGCTAAGTATATACTATCAGAGCATGTAGCAGAGGGAGATATGGAGAGAAAAGAGAAAAAAAAGACAGTTGAAAATATTTCATAGCCTGTAGTCATGCCATCAGTTTGAATATTAATAGGGTAGAGTTGTAGATAGTCTGAAGTGATGTATGGATAGTGAGGAGATGAGTTTGCACCCCACTGTGGAACGACGTCTGGAGCATGGTGAGAAGGTCATTCTGTAGCAGAGATGCTTCACGCTTTTGCAATTCTGTATTCAACACAGGCAAGGAAGCTGGAAAACTGGTGAGAAGGAGGTGGGAACATCTGAGGAGAGCAAGAAACTAGAGGAGAACAATCACACTGTTTAAGGGCACTCAGGCTGTACCATGTGGGATCAAAGAGGTAAGAATTGTCACTTTTGAATATGTATGCACTATACACACAAACACAGGCAGTGAGTCTGCTCAGATTACATTTAAGTTCAAGTTCAATGTGAATGTTAATATACATACAAGTCATCACGTATAATTCCAGTTTATTACAACATGCACAAATCAGTTGCTGACATCTCAATGTACGATACAGCTTGCGATCTGTTAGATGATTAGACAGAAGAAAAAACGGGTTAGTCCAATTTATTTAGAGGAGAAAACAAAAGTGAATGATAACATAATTACCCAACCTGTTTGTCTCCTGTGTAATGAGGAGTTATTGTAGACATTTCAGGTGCGCTCACTTTCATTTTTACCTTAAAATTAAGTGCTTTAGATCAGTGGTGTTATACATTTTTGCTTTGTCACCCTTGACAGAAAAATATAGGACCCCTCTTCACAGCGTGTCAATTGTTTGCGACCAATTAAACCATTTACACACAAATTTGTGCTGGGAGCCACAGGTTTAAATCATCTGGATAAAGTGTTGCCTGATTACACATAAGTGATTTGTTCAGTGATTCAAATTAGTCTGCTGTTGCGTACAGCAGTTTCTACAGTTGCTGTACAACAATTGAGCCAATCAGAGCTCTATTGGGGGGATGAAGAGTGGGCACATCATCTCCCTGTGTCACAGATAGAAAAATTACCACAAAAGAGGCTCTGAGTGAGTAAACTCTTAGTTTGTTTAAACCTGTCTGATCTTAGCCCAGGGGCCTGATGCACAATACTCAAAAAACTCTGTGAACACATAAACACAAAAATGCATTTGCATTCTTTTTTTAGATTTACAAATCCATGCCTATGCCTGGTTCCATTTTTATAAATCTCAATCATTATTTTCATAAATGGACAGATAGACGTGCCCTTGAATACGATTTGCATAGCAATACATGTAAACACGTACCTGTAAAACATCATCTGCACACAGAGTTTAGCAAGACTGTCTTTAAAAAATAGTCAAAGACCCATGAGAACATTGAAATAGGTTTTGCTTGCTGTAATAAAAAATAAAAAATATATATCACGGCCAGTATTCATGCCATCAGTTTGAATACAAATAGGAGTTCTAGATAGTCCAGAGTGACGTGTGGTTAATGAAGAAATAATTTTGCGTCCTGCTCTGAGCAGTGAAGTTACAGATTGCAAGCAATTTAAAGTGAGTCTGAGTTAATCAAATTAGGTGGGTATCTCCAAAGTTACAGTATTTGTAATACAAAATTCCCTCTGTGTGTTTTCTGGACAATGATTCTCTGTTGCGCTGCAGTGGAAGGACAGTAACAAAATGAAGGCATTATGCGCCAAAAAGGCAACTAATACCCACTTAGGTCATTTAAGAAGAATCGCTGATAAACTCTGGAGTGTGTTTTTGTAATGTGAATTTTGTCCCCCATCACCAACACTGAAAGCTCACATTGAAAATTGTGAACCCATCCTGCACGAAAAGGTATAAATGATTGAGTTTACCTTATTAAAACAGACTTTACAAAGTGTGCCACAGGGATAAAATGATAACATCATTAACTCAAAGAATTAGAGTAGTATCTCCAATACATATTAAAAAATCATGTGCCTTTGATTGGCATTTTTCAGATTGCTGTGTAGACTGGAAAAACAACTTTAATTACTGTTTTATCATTAGATTCTATCCCTGTTTATTTCCCTCTACGTTATCATGGGCCTTTCATGATCATGTCACCCTAAAAAAATTTGTCTCTAGCCACTCTATCTGTATTTGTAAGTCGAGGGATGGCACTGTGGGTCTTTTAGTCCACCTCCAGACTGATATATCTCAACATCTATTGGAGGGATTTTCATGAAGTTTTGTAAAGATATTCATGATCGCCAGCAGATATCCCACCAAGTTTGATGATTTCCTGTAGTGTCAGGTCAAAATTTAAGTTTGTCCAATACTTTGATTTATGACCAAATGCCTGCAAAACATAGACATTCCCACTAGCCTCAGTTGTACTTTGTGTTTAGTGCTAATTAATTATTTAGCATTAGCATTTTTTTGCTAGTCAGTGTGCTGTACAGTGTATTTCTGTGGACATTTTGGTCCCCAGATTCTGCTGTGGAGTGAGTGCTCTTGAGTGCCGACAGCTTCGGATGGGATGCAGCAGCACAGAGGTTGAGAAGACACTTTCCACAATAAGGCTCTTAGATAACATTATCTTTTCTCTTCTGCTTAGAAGTGGTGAATTTACAGCTCACAGCAAGATAATATGACACAGTCTCTGACTTTCCTTTGACATCTAGTGTCGGCAAAAATGCTGCACATTTCGGATCCATCGTTAGCACAGTTAGCTTGTTGACTATATTATATGAATGCTGTCGTCACACTGAACGTCCCACTGAGCCCCTTAAAATTAACGTTTTAAAACTTAATATGGAAAAAAAAGACTCGTCAAATATTCTTATTGAACAGCCCAATCTGATTCGACTGAAATAATTCTGAGTCGGGTACAGCCCTAATAATAGCATTGTTATTGGGAGCATGTTAGCATTCTACCAGCTTGTGTGTTTGAAGCGGTGTTTTAGGCATTTGCATCATTACTGTATCTGGCCCCTGGAGTTTTTTGCCACATCTTATTCTCAGATCTCGGCAGATACTTTGATGAACCACAAGGTTGAAATCATATTTCATAGGACTGATGGCTCAAACTAATGAAATAACATAGATGTTGTAATGAACTGGAATTATACTTTAAGACAAATGTGAGTAGCTGTTTTTCTGTGCATTATAGACAGTCTTACATGAAATGCTAATGACTGTGTTTCTCTGTATGTCTTTGTGGGGGAAGAAGCAGTTGAAAGCAGCCTTGCAACATAAAAAAATACAGACTCCCAGTTGGCTGCTGACACACTCCATCAGGCTCCACATAAGCAGCAACAATCAGAGTCATTTTCCGCCAAGTCCTGCCCACAGCCTGCTGTCCCACCTCACTGTTTGAAGTCTGCACTGAGGCTGCCTCGTGTTACTGTTTCATTTTGTGTTTTTGTGTTCCTGGTGAATGCTCCCTGTTATGTTTTGTTTGAGCAATTCCGCTCAGGCTGTGTGGTGGGCTTTTTTTTGCCCCCTTCGTTCTTTCTTTAGGAATTTTTTTTTTTTTTTTTTCATTTGTTTGTTCTTGAATCTCTTCAAAGAATGTAAATCCCTCGTACACTTTTTAAGGCCTGTATAATTATAATTATGCGTGTGCCCTGGCTGAGCATGCCAATGTTTATTTTTATTGTTTGTTTTTTACTTTTTGTGTGTGCTGTGTGTGGAAAAGCCTTTGTTTGGCTGTGCTCAGAGAAAAAAAAAGACACTTCACTGCTATAGAGTCCTACTGAACATGTTCTCAAACTTTAAGATAACCTCAACATCTCTTAACCTGCTGACTCATGTTTTCTGGTTTTCAAACACTGGCGACCCTGAATATCTGGTTAATGGATGCCCAGGACTGAAAGAGTGATATTAAGTAAGCAACTGGATGAATGGTTTCTCTACATGCAGTTTATCATAATTGTGACCCAAAAAACAAACATACTTTATTTAGATTTACATCCACAAAAATTGCATTTGTGTGGATTTAAATTGGATGCCAGCAAATGGACACAGTCAACCACTAATTGATAGATTTTTTTTTTTTTTTTTTTTTTTTTTTTTGTAAATTACAGTATTTTCCCTGTTTTGTTATTCTTAATAGAAACTCTACAGTCCCTTTGTGTTGCAAAAAGTTTTATCTGAAAAGGCAAAAAAAAAAAAATGAAAAGGAAAGAAACTTGTAAGATTGAAAAAGTGTGTTCTGCCATAGTCTTTCTTTTTTTTTTAAGTTTATACCAAATGACTTTGTTCACCTGTGATTCAGTTTAATACACTACATTGTTGTCTATATGTCTTCACCTGTCTGCTTTGCAGCTCCTGTATTTTATGTTTTTTTATGTATTTATATCCTGTGTTCAACTTCCCTGAATGGCGATGCTGCAGCATGCAAGGTAATCTTTTTTTTAAGCCTGCGTGAAAGGCATCATCAAGTGTTGGGAAGGTACTGTATGGTGGGAGAGTTACACGAGAGTGAAGAAGGCTATACAGTATCTGTGCTCATTCTCTGCTGTATTACTATTATGATGTTATTTTAGCTCAGTGGTGTGAAGGATAACCCAAACTGAAGACAGAGATTGAGATTGGAGGATTAGATTAGGTCATAAAGATGGTGGCTCTCTGGCTTTACACCATTTTTGTTTTCAGTGACCCATCAAGGGGAAAGGGTTAATAAGACAGTTTGAGAGGAATCATGACTCTTGTTAACATTTGTTGTTCCGTTCATACTTTAATTTACTTAGTTGTTTGGTTCACACCATGTTAATTTACATATTTATGACTTACATTGTTCTGATGAATAACTTGACAAAAGAAGCATCAACCTTTCACCTCAACCATCTATTCATATTTCATATTATGACTATTGCCAACAGTCAGAGTTATAATAAGTTTGAGTTGTTATCCTGCAACAGCTTCCTTGTGGCAATTAAAGGTTGAACATTTGGAACTGGTTTTGTAGACTCTTATTTTCACCACCTGGTATGAAAGTAGAAAATCCAGACTTTTAAGTTGACTTTGTCAAGAGCTTCAGATGTAGAAACTGTTGATTATAAAACACTAAATGTTAACTTGAAGGAACCATGCTCCGGTTGATCTAGTTATGGTCTCTTTGATTCCAGTTTTCCAAACTGTAGCAAAGATATGACATCCCATTCTCTTGCTTTTTTTTTTTTGAACAGTGAAGTTACCAGTGTCCCCACCCAGCATAATCAAAATGACAGCAGTGTAATGTTATTGGGAGATGGTTGCAAAAGTACACATCATGAAAGCAGTCGATGAATATTTGAAGCACCTGGTCCATTGTTTTCTCATGCCTTTTTGTTCCTTTTTGAATAATCAGGTCAGCAGTGAAACCAAAGATGGTAAGATGAGAAGGCCATAGTAGTGTTGTAAATACAGACTTTTGTTTTGTACTGTTGTTGACAATAAAGTGTACATTTTGAAAAAAGGGTGTTATGTCTGGTGTATGTGGGGTTGAGAGTTCCTCTCTGTAAACAGTGACTAGCATTTATACAACATCTTTCTAAAGAGCTTTACAATTTGCCTCTCATTCACCCTATCACATATTTTAACAGCGATGGTGGTGGAGCTGCCATGCATGGCCTGCCCATTGGGAGCAACCTGGGGATCAGTGTCTTGCTCAAGGTCACTCCAACATGCTTAAAGAAGGAGGAGTGAACCCACAACCTTGTCATTTACATGGCAGTGTGGTTCCAGTGAGCTGAATATCATCATATTATAACATTGGGTCATTCCTGCTTCAATCATGGTGAGACAAAAACATTTTGATGCCTAAGATTTCATCTTTACATGGCAATTATTTTACTACCCTACTAACATCAAGGACCAGTCTCAACCAGATAATTGCCATGACAACCATGCCATAAATATATCACAAAAAGACCTATTTTACTCACATCAGTTCTTGATCACTGGAAGGGAGGATCATCCATAGTTTAGAATGCAGGAGTGTCAAACATACGGCCTGTGGGCCAGAACAGGCCCACTAAAGGGTCCAGTCTGTCCCACTAAATGACGTTACGCAACTAATATTGGTGATCTTGTGAAGACTAAGTCGGAATTTTCTGCATTGAATCCGCGCTGTTGCTACGGCGTAGACTCTTCGTCGACGTAGAGCCTACACTGTAACCTACGTTGAAGTCTGACGTTCACCTCCACCAGAAATGTAACTACACGTCACGGCGATGCAGACCTGTTTATTTTTGTAAGCTGAAACCATTTCCCTTAGTGGAAACAAAGCTTTTATTTACTTCAATTTCACAGATAAGAAACTATAAATTGTGTAGATAATAAAGCCTCCACAAAAATAGCATTTTAAGTCTTGTGTGTGATTTATACTTTGGAATTTATCCTAGGCTTCATATGAGCAGAGGAAATCTCTGCTCATCACTAGGCTAATTTATACAATGTAAAATACCATATGCTTGTACTTATAACATTAGCATGTTGTATTTGTTTGGAAAACATGTTTAGTATAAGACAGTTGTGTTGTTGGTGAACTTAGTGAGTTGTAATGGAGCTGAATTTTGTAACTTTACCTTTGTTAAATGTTGCTGTTGTCCCAGGCTTTGTATGAGAAGAGGAAAAGTTCTCTAGCTGCTAGGCTAATTTATACAATGTAAAATGCTGTAGTTTTGTGCTAATAACGTTAGCATGTTGTATTTGTGCTTTGTCAAGTGCTTTGTCTGTGACTGCTGCGAGATATTGTGTTTGAAATTGTCACTATTAAGCCATGCTTAATGTGTGCTTTGAATCATCTAAACTTTACAGCACAAGTGTAACAGCAGAGTGACACAAACACACCACCGCGCAAGTATAACAGTGTAGGCGATGTGGGTAGGCGACATGTGTATCAGGAGCACAAGTAGGCCTACAAATCCCGCTTAAGAGTCGCTGGGTTTCAGATACAAGTTAAACAGTGACTTGCTTACCTCATTTAAAACCGCTTTTTCACCAGCCTATTTTCACACTCTCAACTCATCAAATACCACTGCTTTCTTAGCAAATGGACACACCAAGATTCTCTTTGCGGTGGTATGACACGCACCGGGCGATGGCTATAATTGACCATGCAGGCAACTACCATAGCATCAAAAGCAACAAAGTCCATATAGGGTGGATGGGTCAAACAAAAACCGGACTTTCACCCGGGAGCCTGCTGTTCATTTCCTGTGTGATACCAAAAGTCAGTAGAGTTATTTTAATAACAACACAGTGTGCTAGTATGTGTTGCAGGCTATTGTAGTGATGTCATGTGGTATACCTTTGTAAGAACCATACTTAAGCCAAACCAAGATGCTTTTTTGTAAACCTATGTGTTTTTGTTGCCTAAACATAACCACAGATTTTGTTGCCTCAAATTGAGGAAATAAACCCAAAAACAAAAAGTTTTACCTACGTTGTAAGTTTATTTTGAAAAAGATGATACACATGTAAGAAGCAGAAACTGTACATTTCATGTGTTTCATATATATTTCATATATTTTAAAAAGGTACATTGCATGTAAAACTCATCAATTGTCATCAATTGACACGTGCTTCATGAACAGCCAAAACTGACGCATCTGGTGTGGATCTACTGAGTCATTTCTGGACGCATAGGTCCACTGACAAAACAGAGGTAGTTTTAGCTGGGATGACTATGAATAGATTGTTTCCACTCTGACCAGAATTCAGTCCTCCTAAAAACAATGAATACTTATTGTGGTCATATTTAAAGATATTAAACACTGTGTAAAATATTCTCAGTCAGCAGCTTTAGTACACAAGAATCTGTGTCAGACTTTGTATGATGCCAGCATTACCACGCAGGAGCTAAAATGTATGCACTGAGACATATTCTTAAATTTGCGCTGATTTTTCTTAAGACATCTCAGACTGTTCATCTGTTTTGTAAATGGATGAACATTTACAGAATGTACTTGTTCTCCTTCACTCTAAAAGAAAGTGAAAAATGTGGAGGTGTTGTTATTTAGGGTTATTATGCAAGAGTTTTAGTAAGTGGTAAATTGACTTGCTTTCTAGTCTTCAGACCACCACATTCACACATTCACACATCCATTCATGTGCTGGTGGCTGACTCGATCAGACAAGATGCCACCTGCTCATCAGTTAGACATTCACATGCACTCACACAACGACACAGCCATCAGGAGCAATTTGGGGTCAGGGAATCAAACGGCTGATCTTCCACTGTATGTGGTCCATGAGCTATTAGTTTTACACCCTGGTTTAGAGCTATTGAAGCTCCTTTTGGGAATTTGTAGTCCAGTAATAAACTAAGCGTTTATAGGTGAACAGATTTGTACTCTTGTTTTTAAGGGAAATTGTGTTTTTGAACAAATGCATTTCTAATTGCACCATTTATATAACCTCTGAGAATTTAGAGCTCATCTAATTAATGAAAGTCAGACCGCAGCACAACCACAACACCATGTACTAAATACATTTGGAAACAGAACACACTCTCTGTAGCAGAAATGTTTCTCTGCATAGCATGCCACACACAAATCTATGTAAAAACTCACTCAAAACTTATTTCTCATCACAACACTCAGCATAGTGAGCTGCAATCAGACTTGTATAATCCACAGTATACATGCAGCCAGAACCACCACAGTGAGACCGTTTTGGCCCAGTTTTTGGCCTCTGTCCCAGCACAAAGACCACAGAGGCTCCAGTTAGAGTTGAGCCAGTCAGCCTCCAACATATCCAGCTGGATCGACATTAAGGCATAATTTATCTGTGCTCAAGCCAGGACTACTGAAGACTGAAGATATCTTAAATGTACAATAAGCTGAGTCAATTCCATTTTGCTGTGGGGCCTAATTCAGAGAGCAACTTCAAACCAAACACAAAGACAAACAAATTACACCGCTGTAACATAATTTCAGTGTTTCACATTGTGATGTAACCTTTTCTCTTGGATCTCCGTGCTAATTAGCGTGTTTACAACTCTGTGCCATGACAATGTGACTTTGTTTGTGCCACTCCAGCCCTGGGAGCTGTGAGGGGTAGGAGGACATCTGAGACTTCATGTACTGCGTGTAGGAGGAGATGAGCTTTATCGCTGTTGTTTCAGCTTCCTGCTGGTTCAGAGATTCGCTGATTTCTTGATGCCCTTTAAATCCACGTTTTTAGTTTTTTTCAGGGAGTCTCATCCTTAAGCTCCTGCATCATTTGCATGTAATTCTAAGGCATTGTGTCAAAATATAGATGCAGAAACCCAGCACCCCCAGGAAACAGTTATTTTGATCAGACACATTTCTTGGATGATTTAGTTTGGCTCACTGTGGGAAAAAATCACTGCCTCCTCTTGGTTTTTGGCATTTTAAACCCGACATAATGTCCTAGGAATTTGAATTAGCTAATAGTGTGTTGTGAGGGAAAAAATCCTGCATTTGATGCACTGAAAAAACAAAGCAGTGGTAAAGCTACAGTAGGTAACTTTTTTCTTTTCTTTTTTTTTTATCAAATATGACAGCCAATAACCGTCACTATATCTTGACAGTAGTACATGAGGCAGATAGTCTGTAAAAAAACATACACACACACACACCTAGTGCTCCATTTTCAAGAATCACGAAAACAACCTATGAGAATGGAGCAGTCTCTAAAGCAGCTGTCAATCACGTCAATCACTGCTTGTGAACTTCAGTCAGACTGTTAAATTAGGCAGCACTAATCAAATATGGTTTGAGATTCTGTTAATGCATATTCCTCTCCTTAAATGTTTTCAGAAACATATTTCCATGTACTGTTTAGCTGTAGAATGAGAAAGCTTGCTCTAGCCAGTGGGCGGTGCTGAGTTTTTGGCTCAAGTGTTTTCATCATGGTGGTTGGGTCACAAACTTTGGCTGAATCCAAATGTATACCCTCTGGACTTGCAGACTGAGCCCTCACAGACTTCAGTCGTACGCACTGTGACGAGTTCACCGTCATCATGTAAAGTCAGTGATGGTAGACACCACAAGTCACTGATAGATAGTCCTCGAGACAGTTTTACTCTTTGCCATGGAAATGTTCTATTGATGATTACAATTGTTATCTGTCCCTGCAGATAACAAGATATAAATCTCATGTTTAGGGGTGTTTTGTGAGTGAACAAAATAAAGTTCAGTATAACATACAGGCTGCGGACATTCAAATACAGAGATGTTTGTGAATAAGGATCAAGCTGTGACTAAATTAATAGGGTAAGCCTATAAGTTACATCAGAAGATCTTCTTTTGTTGTCTTTTGGCCACTTTTGCAATAATACAATGCATTTTGATTCCCCTCTATAGCCTATATGTCTACATATTTCTGTATCATGATGTTGTTGAATATTATTTCTGGCCTACACGATTCAAGTAGAGTTTTAATAGGCTGCAGTAACTGTTTTACACACACATGAGTTTTTTTTTTTTTTTTTTTTTAGTCGGCTATTGAAAAGAAAAACTACTATGTCACATCTGTATTTTAATGAATTGTGGGAAATTAAATCAGTCAGGTCTGCTGAAGTCTGCACCCCAAGCAGACTCTCTGTAAGTTGGCAGAAAGTCCACTCCAGGCCCCTTGTGGACTGGATGAATTGTAGATTTGGACAGACCTAAGTACTCCCAGACTTCTCGGGAACGCGGCTGCAAAGTCTGCAAGTCTGCAAGTGCAAAGTCTGCAAAGTCCAGACTCATTATCATTTTACAGCTGAAAACTGAAAATGGCCTGTGATTGGCCCAAAGTTTTGCGTCATGAGCTAGACTTTCTAAAGCTTGTAAACAGCCAAGAGGAGATGCAGAGGTCTAGTGTTCTTTCAGACCACTTGAAATACTTCAACTACAATATGCTAAAAGGTTATTATGGGATTTTTGCCCAGTGACACCAAACTGCCTATCCCAGATATAAATTGCAAACTTGAGTTCACCCCATGTATTTAGTAAGTTCGACAGGATAAGACTGGAAATATTCTGATTTTTGTTAATATCAACAATCATGAAATGACGCAAGCTAACAACAGGTTAGTCTATCCATGCTGTCTGACATCCCCGCTCTGTCTGTGGCTCTCAGCTCCAAGCCCATTGGTTCCTACTGAAGATGTAGATCTTTGAAAACAGTTCACAGTAGATTTTATTTTCAATAAAGGCTCAGTCATTTCATAAAACAGCTGGTAACTTTAGTTTTTCGCTTACGTTAATCAAATAGGAAAACAATGATTTATTGGAGACTATTTTCAGCAGCGGATGAATCCACATTTGGTGCTCTATGAATGTATCTGGCAGCAGGACAGTGAAGGATTCCAAATAAACCATAGTGTGTGTGTTTATGATGAAGGAACTTCACCCATTGTAATGATGTTTTCACACTGAATTTGAAGCCAATGTTTTTGCACGATTACATAGTAAGTCAATGCAAAGACATAAATTGACACAAATTTGAGGTGGGCTACGTAAGTGATGTGATATTTGTTCTACTCATATATTTGCGTGAGATTAAATTTTTTAGCTAACATTAAAAATCGGCGTGATGCTGCATTGTGAGCCTGTCAGTGATGAGATCTGGTTGAGATTCTTCTTTTGTTACTGAGTAGGCCTACTTAGAAATGGAGGACAAACTTTTTGTTGCCAACTGTGGGCACCGAGAGCTCTACTACTCAATGTCAGTGTGTGAAGGAGTATTGTGGCGTATGTGTGAGGGTACGATAGTGCGTGAGAGTGTTTGATTGTGCATGTGTGACGGTATGGTATCTTTGCATAAGAATATAGTAGTGCATGTGTGAGATTATGATGTTACTTGTAAAATTAAGTATGAATTATGTCTCAAGGGGCCTCTCATACAGTACTGTACAGAGACAGAACAAAAAAGGACAGGGCTCAGAGAAAGTGAGCAAAGCCAGAGGACTACATGGTGCGTTCAAAAAATGTGTATTTGTTACTTGCATTTTGTTGAGTTGCTATTTAGCAATGCGCTCTGATTAATTTAGGTTGGTTGTATATTGCTTAAGGTAAACAACTGAAGGAGTGAACCAGTAATGTGTTTGTGTGGACAATATGAAAAATAAAAAGTGTCTTGTCCTGTCTTGTTTCATGCTGGTTCAGAGCACAAGGGCATGTTTGGCGTGTTCATATCACTTGAATCCTATCAGTTGTACTTTACAATGAACTAAGTTAAAACGTTAGCGTTAGCAGCCTTCCCTAGATAATTAGCACAACTGTTAGCACAACTGGGGCAAATTTTTGCCAGTTGCTAAATACTCCAAAAAACACTCAAGCGGGCGTATTCTTGCAAGTAACACAAGTTTTGAGGTATGTTGTCACAAAATGTAAGGACAAAAGGATATGTATTGATAAAGATTACAGATAGTAAAAAAAGACTGTCTTTCAATAGAGTGCTAACACAGTAGCATCAGACACCACAGGCATTTCTGCTGTCTGTGAGACTATTTCCCACTTTCTTTCATAACTTCCATTTAACTTCAGTGTTTCTTCCTAATTCAGTCCCTTCCATCAGCTGTCAGGAGCTTTCTCCTGATCTGACTGCAGTAGCTGGCGGGCAGTGTGAAGCTCCCTGAAGTCATAATTACTGTTGACACATTTGTTATTTCTGTTGCAACAAATCAAACCTCTTTTGACTCATGAGAAGCCTCTGGCTTAAAGTGATGCATTTATTTTATACTGGAGCAAACTGTCAGAAAACAGTTGTCCCATGATATCATGACGCAAAACATACACACAAACACACACACACATCAACAGAACATTAACTAAAACAAAGGAATCGTGACTTTTTATTTACTTATCCATGAAAATAACATATCAAGAAAAAAAGCATTAATAATGTATAAATTAATTGCACATTACTCTATGCTTTACATATTATCATCATATCACTTTTTTGTCACCAGAGCACATTAATATGAATGGCATTAGAAAATAAAAACTGCCCTTTGCAACCTAAGGCCACTTACTCCCTTCACGAGGGAGTCCAATGGAATGGACAATACTAAGCTCCGAGTAGTTCAAGTTTGAGAAAATAAAAGTGAAAACAGACCAGTGCAAAAATGAAGCCTCAAGTTAAAGGGGAATGCCACTACATTTTCATATGTGAATATGTGTGGTGGCTCGCTCTACTAGAAATAAACCAGACGAGTCTTAAATCATCGTCTAATCTGCAACATTAACAGCACTCTAATCCGAGAGTTAGAAATGCAGAGCGGTCTTACAGATTTCTTTGCAGGGATTTTCTGCTTCAGTACAAACTGTGACAATAAACATCATTTGAATGTTGAAATGTAAATGAACTTGGTGAGTTCCGGGAGCAGACAAAGCTGCTAAGCTGATGACTAAGCATTATCTAAGTGCTTAATTATATGTTTATATGTGTGTTTTTGTTTAGCTGACATACTTTTATGGCTGTGCTGCAAAAATGCTTTATGAATGTGTGTGTGCAGGATGATAACAGAGATTAGAGACTTGGTTCTCAGACTTCCTCTTTGCACACAGCATCGCTCATTATCACTAATTCTCTCTTTTAGGCTTCAATATTAACATATGTTAAAGGGATAGTTCCGAATTTTTGAACTGGGGTTGTATGGGGTACTTATCCATAGTGAGTGTATTACATACAGTAGATGTCAGTCAGCAGGACCCCAGTTTGGAGAAGCAGGCTGGAGTTTGACATGGAAGCTAAGCAATGTACTGCTGTGGATGGGGGTCAGCAACAAAATGTATTTCAGCCACCTAAAATAAGTCCCACCTTAAAAAGTCAGTATCAGATTAAGTGTGAGCTATGCTGAGAGCATTTTCACCGCTTTACCTCACCGTCAGACAGCCCGTTCCATCGGAGAGAAAACAGTAAGTTTAGCTTGCTGGAGCTGCTGGACTACCAATACTTTGATCAGTTAGTTAGTTTGTGTTATTGTGTGACTTTGGTGAATTCGGACTAACCCCATAATAACACAAACAAAATAACTGATTAAGGCAGCAGCTCCTGTGTTTAGCAATGATAAATCACTGATTTTCTCAAAGGAGTCTGGCTTTGCAGAGAACGATGTAACTGCTCCATTTTCCAGTTGGAAATCACTGTCTTACGGCAAGGTAAAGCAGTGAAAATACTGTCATATACATTATTTTAGGTGGGACTTTATTAAGCTGGCTAAAATCCATTTTGTTGCTGACCCTTCCACAGCAGTAGATTGCTTTGCTTCCATGTCAGGCTGCTTCTCCAAACTAGGGGGCGTGCTGATTGACATCTACTGTATGTAATATAATGCCTATGGATAAGTACCCAATACAACCCCACTTCAAAAAAATCTGAACTACCCCTTTAAACTACAGCAGTGTTCCCCTTTAACATGCTGCTTATAAAAGGAAGGTAAGGATGGCGGGGGGGGGGGGGGTCATTTGATGTTACACTGACCAGATGACTAAAATAATAATAATTGAAATAAAACATTACATCTTTTGTGCCTCCCACATTGTTGACTTTAAGAGCACATTCACTGATGGGTATTGTGTCTCCATCACCGAGCATCATTTTATTCCCATGGTTGACCATGCAGCACAGAGAGCCAAACTCACATGTTTACATGCACATAGCAAATTTTCCGTAACCTGGTTGCTATGGTAACATGGTTTACTTAGAAGTATAAATGTCAAATCAGGGTTAGGATGACCTCATAAAATCATACTATAGTTGTGAGAAAGCTGTTAAGATGCCTGGTGCATTCCAACATAGAAAAACACAGCACAAGTTGAGAAAGTGCTTTCACATTTGGTTTCACACTCTCACTCTGTGAATAGAAGTGGATGTAAAAAATAAAAAAAGTTAGTGAGCTGTGTCATTAAGGACAGGAATCATCATTTTCTCCTGCTGTATTATCCGAACGTTCCAGCTGAACCTTTTCATTTCCAATTTTGCAGCCAGACTATTCGATCTTTAACCAGGAACACTGTGTGAGACCTCATCATTCAACACTCTAAGGCTCCTCTATTAGGAAAACTACAATACATCATCTCAAATGAATTTTGCTAGCATAGTAATGGCTGCAGAAAAAATGAGAGCGTGGAGGTGAAAATGGGTCAGTGCTGTGTGTCGCTGTGTTTACTCGGCTCGTCCCTGGGTACACTGTGGTCTAGCTCAAGGCACAAAGGGGGGACCTCAGTACAAACAGACAAAGGGATCTCCCGGTCTTCCTCTGCTTGTTCGTTCAGAAACACACAGACCCACATGCTGCACAGTCTCAAGGTTCCTAGCTCAGCTTGCTGCATCGGCTGTTAATATAATAAAAGTTACTACAGTCCTGGTATACATTAGTTAGGATGACATACCATATCATATTGACATATCACATTGTACTTTCAAGAAGAAAAGATCCACTCTACCCATCTATTTACACTCCAGTAGATAAAATGTTTACCTCTGTTAGCCCAATGTTTCACAGACAATAAATTCTCCGTTAAAATTTGTTAAAATAGCTTTTCTTAAATAATCTAGCTGTAACCAGTGAAGAAGTGCCGACTGTTATGGATGCAAATACTACAGGGTCTCAAGAGGTCATCAGTCATCACATTTTAAATTTTACAGGTAGTAAACTTAATGAAAGACCTAACCAGAATAATATAGGTTTTTATCAGTAAGGAGAACACTGTATCATCAAATTGCTGAGATCTGGAAACCCAACCCTCGTTAAAAAGACAACGGATTGCTGCCCATGTGGCAGAAAGTAGTAGTAGTAGTAGAAAATGTTTGCATTGTACATCTTGGCAAACCACAACCATGTTACATTTGGACATTTCATATGTATCATATCAACGTCATAATTAATCATTATTATATGAGCTGACTTTGTCATCTGGAGGTGGAGGGGATGGTGGATGGTGTGGTCTATAGCTTGTCAGGCAAGACCACTGTTGTAGACGAACAAACAACACCTGTTGTTTTTTATCGAGTCATCACTATTTCCACTGGGAATAGTGACGAAAAGCAGCTGTTTTTCTACAGAGACATTGCTGTGTTTCCAGCGGGGATTGTGCCATCAGAAGTGGGTATCTAACCACAACCAAGTGGCTTTTGTGCCTAAACATAACCATGTGTTAACTGCAGTGCTGTTGAAATGTAAAGTTTCAATCACCCCTTTTGCACTGCCTGTTCAAGATGGGAATTTCACGTTGTTATTCTGCCTCGCCATTCTGTATAAAAGATACAATTGTGGAATGAGGGGACAGAGTTGTCTCACATTTAAACAAGCAAAGGGGATGGTAACAGCACCAAATTGACGTCTGTGTAAAAAAAGAACAGCTGGTAGGGTGGGACCATGGACCGGATTGGTGTGATGTTTCGACAGTGTGTTATGTGTGCAACACACTGCTGGGAGAAAAAACTACTAACAGCAGTTAGCAGCTAACTCAAAGAAGAGGTTGAGAGCTCCTCCAAGCAGAGGACAGGATCAGCCGCCATATAACAGGGATGGTAAATGATTGTCATTACCATGTTATGCCACTGTCGACGCATATATTATACACCACACTGGAGGCTGATGCTGCTGGCATGCTGTCTAAAATCACACAGTGGAGCTGCATGATGCTGCTGTTGTTTGGTTCTGTGTAAAACTGCGTGAAAAAGGGACTTCATGGCGGCCCTGTAGCACTATGTTTGTGTTAAAAGGGCTACTGGACACATAATAACATACAAATGTAATCTATCCGTGGTTTGCAGAAACGTACAGTGCCAATACTTTTTCATGCAACTGGGTTGCAAACTGGGAAATAAACGGGAGGATCCAGACATGTTTTAAACAAATCCCCAGGTTAGACAAACTTATGTGGAGGAAGAAACAAAAAAAGTTTGTCCTCATCTGTAGAAATGTATTGATGTCACAGTGTTCCTAGATCCAGGTCTGAACAATTATTTTGGTGAATACAATGTTACCATAACCAATGGTCAAAAGAATAAAATTAAATCCCAAATTGCAAACTCTAATTATCCTTTAATTAGTATGAGAACAACAGCCGGGTAAACATAGCCCTGTCTTATTGCAAACTGCACCCCTAACAGATCTGTCACAGATCTGCCAACAGCTTGCATACTGCTCTGAAAAGGAAAAAGGATAAAAAATAATTTTGCATTTGAACAAACCCAATATTTGCACTAGTGAGATATCTTGCAGTCATTATGGAGAAATACACCTGATTCCAGATTCTGGGTTAAGGGGCTTTTAACTTCACGCTACTGCACTGTGAAGGTGCATATGACTCATCTCAGTGTTTGAATGCTCTGCAGTACTCTGTTCGTCTCTGCTGTATTCACACTATAACCCCACAGAGAAGATGCATAATTACTGCAAATCAGACTGACAGCGATTCCTCAGACACGTGGGGAATGTGGACATTTTCAGCACATGATGGCTGTGTAATTGAAGTGGCGACAGGCGGCTGCAGAGCACATCGTCTCTATCAGCGACGTCTGGCTCACTCCTGTCATTTAAATGCTTGAGCTGAAATGCAGGCACTCTGGCTTTTGTCATGGAGAAATTAAGAGAATTCCACAAACATTAAACATTTCCACCACTTAGTCATTAAAGGGCAAGATGGGGGCCTGAGAGGAGCTCAGTGTACAAAGGTGTAGCTCACTCAAACAGAATGAATACATTCATAGGCTTGCTGTGCTCAGATGAAGAAAGTTAAAAAAAAAGCACCAGCTGATGAATCCCCTAGTCTTGAAACAGAAACAAGGAGAAAATAAACCTTCTATCCTTTTCCTGTTTCCCTCCTCTTGTCCAAATAAGATACCAAGTCCAACAAGAGTGCTCGTCTGGAGCTGTCGCACAGTTTTCTCCAGGTCTGAGGGAAACAAGTGAATCAATAAGGCATCCTCTGGCTCCATTTAACTGCTCCTGACTCACCACACCTTGTTACGACCTGCAAGTCAGCCAGACCTTGGGCAAATAATGGAGTATCCTCTAATGGGCAACACACGAAGGAAGAGCAGAGAGTGGGTGAAATAGCAGACATGTAGAGAGGAAAGTAAAAAAGGAGTTAGAGAAGAGAAACGGTGGAGTCTGGCTCCCCCCACTGGTTGTAAATAAAAATGACCCCTACACATTGGCTGTGCATGTTCGGCTAAAAAAGAGCTAGAGATGTCTTGCTCTATTGAAAGGCCCTTCAAACCTAATCAGGAGAGTGGCAGGATGTGAAAGGAACAGTAGCAGCAGTAGCAGGATCAGGCCATTAAACAGGCATACAGTCCAAGCCTGGAGACAAACAGGAGCGTTTGAAAACCAGAGGCCAGCACCGGCACAGCTCACTGTAAACAACACCAAGCCTGGTTTCTTTTTTTCACAGGTTTAAATCATTCACAGATGGTCTTTTCTCCCTTTTTTTGATTCTCTGTGTTCTACTGTGATTTGGTTTTAGCCACTTTGTTGTGCATCGTCGTCTCTGTTCGGCAACAAAAGGCAAGTGTCTTGAAATATTTCTGTTGATAACTGTAGTTACAACAGTCCCAGGCCGAGCAGAATGAAGAAGCCCTTTTAGTTCAGTTCATTCAGAGGCACAGCTTCATTGTTGTGCTCCCCTTTCACTGTCTCTAAGACTAGAGGTTCAGCCTCGGGGCCACTAAGGCAAACTCTCGCAGAATGTGTCGGGCCACGTCCACTTTGTACTGGGCGATCATCAGTGCCCGCTTCACGTCCTCGAAAGAGTAACCCTCCCCCATCAGCTTGGCAATTTTGGCGTCCACGTTCTCTGACTCTAGACTGTGGGGTTTGCTCGGCTGAATGTCCGGAGGGATCTTTCTGGGCAGTGGTTTGGGCGGCCTGGCAGGGGCCTGCAAACAGTCCATCGATACTTGGAGAAAGAAGAGGAGAGAAATCATGTCAGTGGAAAAATGCCCCTGGCACACAGGCAGAGTGTTATTGGTGGTCAAGGAGAAGCTTGTCTAAAGGCACAAACTTATATTTTATTTTTACCCCTACCCTCATTTTCAAGTGCCTTTTGTCCCTTGGAACACAGTTTCAAGGGATGGTGGTTGGAATCTTCCCCTATGAAATGGGACAAGCCTCCAATACCCTAGTACCTCATCAGTAGTCACCACACGCAACTATGGCCATAATGGCATTATTACAATAACATTTGCCTTTTTTCTGATGGAGAGAGAAAAACATGTCACGAATCATTCACAATTCGAAAATCTGCTGCAGCCCAAAAACACCATTATAAAACAGACCTCTGTAAAACTGTTGACAGGACACCCTGAGCTACGAGCAAGGTCAATTATATCATATCTATTATGAATTTTTGATCCACTGAGGTTTTATATTTGTAAAACTTTCCTCGAGCCAAGAAAAGCGATTGAAAAATCTGTGATGTCATCGCAATGTAAAATCTATGAGCCAAGCGGGAACTTGTGGGTGGGGCAAGCAGGAGAAACATGACCGTGGACGTAAATCTGGAAGCTAGAAACATTGTCTGGCATATGTGGCAGGCGAGAAACTCCACTGGACTGAACAGGCGCCATCTTGGGGTTACACATCTATGACTTCTACTGTACATACAGTACCCTGCCAGCCTGCACTGCTATTAGAGGAGCGATAAGTGCAACAACTTCGCTGCTGGACTTAAGTTAAATCTCGCCATCATGCCCTCTCAAACGGGGGAATGTGACATGGAAACATGTCAAAATTGGGAACTATCATATGCTTGTTATAAAAAAGCACCATGTTACATTGAAACAACATTAAACTAAGATAATATGATGGTTACTGTAATGTTAAATCTGTATTTATGAGGAAAATACCTTTATTAGTAAGTAATCACCATCTTTCATAGCTACAAAGCAGATATTGACGTATTCACTGCACAGAAGTCTTTGATGTCCTGCTCCTCAGTCTAATACCAGAGATGGTAAAATGTGGTCAGCCTGCTTCCAGGGAAACACATTAGAAGTGCTGAAACCAAGCTGATTTGAAATTCAAAGCTTCAGGCAAACTTGACATGTCTGCTCAAAGCAACATCTACTGTCAACACTTAAAAAGAACTGCTCATGCAACATGAAACACGTTGGTCATGTTGAAGAGACTCTCCGGCCCGTGAGAGCATACATGATTCTTTCAAAAGACAGGCAGGGATTTTTTTCTTTGAGAGTAACTTTTTTTTTTTTTTTTTTTACCATACTTGAGTTGCACAATTTCAATTTCAAAGCCTCATATTTTTTCCAGACCTTAATTCCAGAAAGGTTTTGATCTTTTTTGGTTTTATGTCCAGTCAGAATATGTAAGAAGACTGTAGTCCAAAACACAGACAGTATGCAGTTATATGTATATTGCAACTATATTTTACAATGTTATTGTTAAAGTCCACAAACCCAGACACGTGTGCATTTCGTTCACTAAGAAGGAGAAGTAACTCTACCTTGACTGGCTGGTAAATGGTCGTACTCCAGGCAGCCTCTGGAGCCTTTAACGTGTTCTGTGTGTCGTCTGACTGGAGGCAGAGGAGCAGCACTGTTCAGCATGTCAAACACCGTGTCTAGACACAGATGACATTAAGGAATTCAGGTAAAGAAGCCTATTGCTATCTGTCACACATCAAAGTAATACAGTGTGTATTTTCCACAATTCAGCAAACATAACAAACTCTTTACCCACTGCAAGAGAAAATAATCAAATTAGCATAACATTGTACAAGATGCACTATATTTATTCTAGGAGTTCAGGAGTTTGGCAGCTCACCGGGGGTTAACAGCAAGTGCTCGTGTCCAGATGAGGGCCTGTGTGGTCGTGCAGTGACAGAGGATGAGGATGTGGAGGAGTTGCAGAATGAGGACGAAGAAGAGGAGGAGAGGTCGATGAAACTGTGCCGCGCTGGTGGAGGAGGAGGCTGGGACGGAGGGCGGCTGTTGAAGGGGTCTTCTAATGCTGAAACACAACAGAAAGCGAGGACAAGACTGAGCTCTCTGCTCTGCTCTGATTCACACTTTATACTTCTTCCATGAGGAGGTGGCTGACGCTGCTATAAAGTCTAAACCATGTGCAGTCCCAGCAATGGGATTACATGCTGAAGAGCAACTGACATGCCGCCTGTTAGAGAGAAGCCAAGAGAGGATATTCTTGAGACATCAGAGGAGGAGGAGGAGGAGGAGGAGGAGGAGGACTGGGAGAGGAGGTGCAGGAAGGCTCTGTTTCAAATACTTAGCCATGCACATTGCACACATGGATGACTCCGTAAAGGTGTTGAACTACAAAGTCTGAGTTAACAGAACCCTTAACTGGTGCTAATCAAACAATACAATACAATACAGTAATAAGCACATAATGAGTAATCAGAACAGTCAGGCAACTACAGCTATGGAGGCCCATAGGGGTCTTTAACAAAATGATAATGTAAACTTGAAAATGAAAATGTAATTCCACAATAGCAGATCATCATTCCAATAGTAACCCATGTAGCAGAGTTCACATGGTCCTCATCTGTGAAGGACTGAAGGTGCACTGTGTGATTGTAATGCTGTAAGGGACTGTTCTTTATTCACTAGAGGGGAGGGGATGGTGCAAAAAGGGGGAGGCATGTCAAATAATTTTTGAAGCACGGGGAAGGCATTGAATGTTTTTTATTTTGCCTTAGGGGAGGGGCATACAAATTTAAATAGCTGTATTTTGTATTTATTTTATCGCTGATTACACAATATATCACAATCAGAGACTGTAAAAACAGAAATTATTGTGTATTTTCAAATTTCTGATGGTCCTTGGACACATTGTGTGTGACGGACACTTCTGTCAGAAAAAAAACAGAATCAAATCTGAGCCTAAAATAGTGATATTATACCAGTATCACCTTATTCTATGTCTCATTTAAAATTTGGCCAAAAATAAACCGCTTTCACTAATTCACCAGCATGCATGAGTGAAAATCCAAGGCTTTTTTTCATACCAGGATCTTCAACTGTTGACTTTTAACTTTAAAACATCAAAGGGTAAGTTTAAAAAATCGAGCTACAGGCTACAGTGAAGCTAAAAACAGAGTTCATATGACGTTTTTCGAAACAACTTTTTATGTCGCGGCTGCAGCACACTTGGATCACTATGGATGAGATATTTTGTGGATTCAATTTTGTGTTCTTGGACGTTAGTCTGGGATGCCGTCTGCCATTAGGTGTGCTAGCCGCTCCCCCCGCCGATCTCCGCAAGGGATGTGAGGACTCTAAAACTTCACCAGGGCCTCCATCGGCATATAGGTGAGTAGATAATGGCTGAATTTTCATTTTTGGGTGCACTATCCCTTTAAGGAAAAACATTTGTAGCTTCAGGGAGGGTCAAAATGAAATATGTAAAATAAAAATTTAAACTCCTCTGAAGAATTTAAAAGTAATCCCTATACAAATAGCTATACTATTCCACAATAGCAATATAATTTTCCACGTATGTATGTTATTTGAATAAAAACGAAAATAAAATGTAATAAACCAATTTGCATTTTACATTTTGACTTAAATATTGCCTCCATACATGGAAAATGAGGTCACATTTTTATATTGCATTTTAATTTTCAAATTTCAATTAACATTTGAATATATTCCACTGTTCAGCGGGGTGCAATTTTGAAAATTAAATGTCAAACAGCTTTTTCATTTTTATTTGAATACGGTCTCAGAACGCTCATACAGGTAATGTGAAAATAAAAATGTAAATTGCATTATTGCAATGTTGTGAACATTTTTACTCAATTCATAGCTGGAAAATTATAATGTAGCTGTGGAAATACATTTTCAAATTTACGTTATCATTTCAATAAAGTCCTCTGTGACCTTCTATAATAGCTGAAGCCTAGTTTTGCTTTTTGATGACAGCGTTAGAGTAACACACTGCAAATGTAGACCATGTGAACTCTGCTACATGTGTTACTATTGGAATGATGATCTGTTGAATAGATGCTGTATACTAGCTGCAGAATGTGGTTTTAATAAAATGACACTAAAGTTAATCTTATTTTGGGGTTTATGAATAGATCTTATCTTCTGATAATCTGCCTGTAATCACACTGAACTTCTCAACAGAAATTCCTGTATAAATGAAGGAGACAGATATTCTCAGCCTGTCACTTGAGATTCACTGGTAGAAGTCAAGATTGCAAGTCTGACACTGGGAGATTTTTATGTGACAAGAGTGACATTTTACAGTCAGACAGGTTTGACAACACAGGTGTGTTGCAGAGAGAAGACAGGCTCAGACAGGCTCAGACAGGCGATTAGCCAGCAGAGGGGCTGAGACAGACAGGGAGCTGAGGCTGGGCGAGGGGAGGAGGGGGTGGAGAGGTGTATCGGACGGGGGTCGCTACCTTGTGGAGGCAGCAGAATGTCATAGTCGGAGGGTATCTTGTTGGCGCTGAAGGGGCAGGGGGCAGTGTGTGGCACCCGCGGGACCAAGCCCCTGACTGACTCGGAGTGTCCACCTGAAGAACAGAAGCAGAGAGTATGTTTTTCTCAATGAATAAGACAGAATTTTGCCAATGGTTGTTATGCACTTTTACATTATTTAATATCTTCTATAAGGTTTAACATCCTTAAATGAGACAGAATTCTGGTATCAAGATAATATCCAACAGGAAACTTGAAAACAGGCTGATGTGTAATGGAAACACATGAAATTATATGATATGTTCATACAGTTTCTACAGATCATTTCTGGGCATCTTATTCACCCTGCTCATTGCAACTTCCTCTACATCAGATGAAAATGCAAATGATCTCATAGCACTGGAGATTCAGATAATTGTGATGTTAAATCCTCTCTGCTGGTTTCAGGACTCACCAGGCTCGGGTGGCTGGGACTTCTTCTCGTCGTTGGAGGGCTCTGGAGAGCCGTTCTCCAAGTGCCTGAACGAGAGGAAATCTTTTTGGTTCACAGCAGCCTAATTAAACTCTAATGGAACCATCATTGCTGTATCACCACAGTACATTGAAAGAGGGCCGGTACCTGCTGGGTACAGAGATGCAGATGGGAGCCTGGCTCAGGCAGAGGTTGGATGAAGGGATCTGGTAATCGTCCTCCGCTCTCTCCATCCCTCCCCGCTGTCGTTCTATCACAGGACTGCTGAAAGGGTTGGAAGGTCTGTAAAGAGCATTATGACAGGTCAACCTAACCTTTCCATTAGTGTCACTCATGCAGTTATTACATTCAAACTGCAATCACTACCCCATTCCCATAAAATAAAATAAAATGTTTAAACAGTGTGTGACAGCTCTATTCAGCCTTTCTGGTACTAGGTTACTTAGAGCACTTTGAACAGCGTGGTGTTGTTTCAGTTGCAATTTCTGATGAATTTTTTTTCTTTTTTCACTTCGCTCCCAAATTCATTACAAAAAAACAAAATGCACCCTGCTAAGTATGTAGTTTTGTCACAACTAATGAGAACTGGTTGTCCAAGTAGTGCATCATGCTCTCCAACTTGTAATATATCAATGAAAGTGAAAAGATTTGTCACTGTAAATAGAGCTAATAAAATGCTGATACATTTCAGCACACAAACAAATCTGAGCTGACCAAGATGACTCATATCAGACTGTACACTCAGAGTCACTTGACAGGACAGGTTTTCGCTGCTTGTGGGACAAATATTCATCACTGTCCAACACTGTATTTAGCGTGGTACTGCCATTCGCAACGTCATATGTGTGTAAGCCGATGTTTTTATCCCCGATGGAAGACTCATCTGTCAGTAGAATCAGACTTACAGGCTGCACTGTCTCTAATTAACCATATTTTAATAACCCTGCATAAGACACTTTGCGTGTGCATAACAGCACTTTCACATATCCCACAAAATGCTTGTAACCTTTTTCTGTTATTTGTTTTGTCTTTGTGCACTTTTAAGGCTAATTTTACTTTGATAAAAATGACAGAAATACAACTAACCAATTTTATTCCAAGTTTATTCTAAGTTGTATCTGCCAGTCTGCACAGTAACCTATCCTAAACCTGCTGACATCCTTTATCCTGAGTGATTAAAAGTTCACTGACACCAATTTTGGTTTAAATATGAGAGAGGGAGGCCTGTGGACTTAGGGTGTAGGGTGTAATCTCTCTCCAAGGAATATGTGAAAAAATGTGAAAAGCAGCTGAGCTCCCTCACCTTTTTCATTACTACTCAGCCACCCTGGAGCAAAATACTAAGCCATGAAGTGTAGCCTATCAGCAGAAGTGGTTGCACGTATGAAGTTGTGACTGATAATAATCAGGTTCTTTCTAGATGGATAAAAGTCCCAAAACAACACAGACAGACTTCAAACCACAGCCAAATTCATTTAGACTTCAATTTTGTGTAGTGTAATGTGAAATTATGCAGCACCACTTATCAGCTGGCTCCACCCTGCTGGCTGTGTTTACATACCTAACGTGTCACAGTACAGTGTTTTTGTGCTGCAGAGGTACAAAGTACACTAACTGTTGTGTCTTCTGTGGGAAACCATGAAACATGGGAACAATGAGGGTGCTGTCTACCATGAATGATGCAGTAATTTCTTTGGCCAATCAGTTACAAGAAGCTTCATGTCCCACTGTAACCCCTGTTACATATTAATCATGAGCATGGAAACTAAGCCAGTAGTTAGTTTACTAAATAAACATTCAGGTTCAGATCAGGCCTTTTGGGAATAAATGGTAGTCTGCAAATACATAGTGAATGGAAATACTACCTTGTGGCTGTACGCCTCCACCAGCCAGTCAAGTTGCAATTTACATTTATGTCTGTCCAGACTCATGTAATATATGTAGTGAAGACTTTAATAAAAGGTATTAAGTGTATTTTGGGGGGAAACATTGATGATTCACACACATCTTCAACCAAGCAGCACAGAAGATCTATTTAATCACCACTGTTTTAGGGATGACACCCAAGATTAGTGTCACAATTTGTTATCTAACCTCGGGCTAGGCAATACTGCCTACCAATAATATTGCGATAAATTGAAATCTCCTCTATCTGTAGAGTACTAAATACTAAACTACTAAATAAACTACTGTTACAATAAAGTTGCATAAATAAATTGATAAATAGTTAAAGAAAGTACTGTTACAATAAACTTAAATAAAGTAATGTTAATGTGTAAAGTAATATTATTATAAAGGTTAAATAAACTGTTGTAACAATAAAGCGAAAGACAGTACTGTTACAATAAAGTTCAATAAAGTATTGTTAGTAATTTTGTCGTAATCTGTGTGGGAATTCTCGAGTTACGGCTTTGTGAGGTCACAGTGACCTTTGACCATCAAATTCTAATTGGTTCATTGTTGAGTCCAAGTCCACATTTATGTTATTATTTGAAGAAATTCCCTCAAGTTGTTCCTGAGATACCACATTAATGAGAATGGGACAGAGGAACAGACTGATTGATGGAAGGATGGACAAATGGCTACAGCTGTTGCTAACACAGAGGCACAATAAAAAGTGTGTTATCCTGTGAAAATAATGAGTGTTTGCAAAATGCATATGTGCATGTCAGCTGCAGCCATTTGTCTAAGGCAAGGCTGTGTATATCACTCTAACAACCTCACAATATTTAACAACACTAAATAGTTTTCAGCCGAGCCAGAGCTTCCCCTCTCAGCTCAAGCTTCATCAGAAGTGACAGCTCTATCCCCTGCCTCCACTACAGCAGCCCGATAAACAGAAATACCTAATCTAATTCTGGCTGCAGCTAAAAGGCTATTAGACATCCAGCCATCATTTTTCAAAGCTGTTTCTAACCAGGACTTTTCCCTAAGGCTAAAAGACCTCACTGGTTGACGGTCCCTGAGTCTGAAACCACAGAGAAAAAACAGAAGAAGGTTCAGGAGATGAAACTTTAGACTGAAAGGAAAGACTAAACAACTGACTAGTGTTAAACTGAATGTTACTCAAATCTAAAACAGGTGTCCAATTTTGTTACAGCTTTCACCAAAGTTTGCTTTAAGACTGCAGATCACTCAGCTATTTTGTTCTATTCCCATGTTGGTCTGCACAGTTCTGCAGTCAAATAACTTTGTGGGTTTAATATTGGAAATTAGATATTAGGGATGTACCCGCATGCACATTAGGAGGAGGAGGCGTCATGTGCGGGAATGGCGAGACAAAAAAGCCTTGTGTGGCAGCTGAGCTCCCTTCAAATCTACGCAAATTATATATCAACATGAAACTTAGAACATGCAGTTTTCTGGTGTATTAACTGGCTCCGTTTAAAATACTCAACAACCAACAGATAATTTTACCTTGTATTTTTGTATTTCAGTCAATGTTCATCCATTTAAGATGTATCATGAGTTTTGACTTAGCACCCACTGACACACTTCCTCCTATAGATTTCCTCATTCATTTATTTCAAGAATTATTTTGTACATATGTAGGCATTTTTCTTATTTATTTCATATTAGGGATGCACGATAATATCGGTACGTCATCGCTATCAGCTGATATTGGCTTTACAATGAAATATCGGTATCGGCCAACATGCTTTTTCGTAATTTGCACAATGAATGATTATATACATTGCAGTATGTAATTAAGTATTGTATTTCATGTCTCCATCTGCTGGTGAGCCTTCACAATAAGAGAATGCATGCATAATATGATGTTAATTCCACTACAGCAGAGACTTGATGATCAGTAAAATTAGGAAGGGAAAAAAGACATAGTATTGGATATATCTATTGTCGATATCGGTAACAGTTATCGGCCAAATGATTTGTTACACATCGGCATATCGGCAAAATATCCAATATCATTTCATAGGGATATTTATAGAGATAAAGTCAGAGAGGCCAGACTGAGATGGTTTGGACATGTTAAGAGGAGGGATAGTGGTACATCGGTAGAAGGATGCTGAGGTTGGGACTGCCAGGCAAGAGGCCTAGAGGAAGGCCAAAGAGGAGATTTATGGATGTAGTGAAAGAGGACATGAAGTCAGTGGTGTGAGACAAGAGGATGCAGAGGATAGGGTTAGATGGAGGCAGATGATTCGCTGTGGCGACCCCTAAAGGGATCAGCCAGAAGAAGAAGAAGGGATATTTATTTATGTACTTATTTGTTTTATACTGACTTAAATGGCATTTCATAGTGTTTGGGTTCAGAGAGTTCATAAAACTTTGTTTAGTTAACAATAAAAAAATATTAATTATATGGCATTATTAAATCAAGCTGATGCTTTAAAGGCGAAACAATGTCATTGACAGTAAATATTAGTTTAGAAAATACAACACTTGACAATTTAACGTGACTTCTGATATAAATCACACCCACTTCTTCCTTCTATTCAAATACAAACACAGACAGATAATTCCCGTGGTTGAACAGATACCGACACAGATAATAATGTCTCTGTGCATCTCTATTAGATATACCAGCATGTCTCATCTCTATGATTTACACAGACATGCATTTTGATACACTGGTTTTCGATACGGCCTACAAACAAGTTCACTGGGAACTCGCTGGCTGCAGAGACGTACCACTGCATGGATACAGAGAACAAACATGCCTCTAAACTTCTCTGCCCATATTAATACAAATGTGTTGATATCATTTCACAACTTTCATAGGATACTTCCAGGGAAACTCATATCTCGCTGGATAAATAGTCCCATTGTGTGTGTGTGTGTGTGTGTGTGTGTGTGTGTGTGTGTGTGTGTGTGTGTGTGTGTGTCTATGTATAATACTCACTTGTGGCTACAGGCAAGCGAGGACTGCGTTGGCGAGTGCCGTGAGGGAAGGATGTCATACTCATCGCTGACTTGCACACCATTAGAGAAGGGCTGAACACAAGAGAAGGAGGAGAATTATAAACACAAAGGAACAGCTGAAAGCTTAATGTTGGCTGAACTTGATGAACTAAAATAAACTTTAATACAGTAGATTCTGCTTCTCATGTTCCTCCCTGATTCTGTCGTAGGAGGAAGGCAGTTTAGTCCTCGCCACTTATCAAACACATCCAGGACACATGAAGGCTGACACAGCAAGTCTGCAGAAAACTAATATGTCCCTCACCTACTGGAGCTTTCAAGAAACTTACTAGCATTGCTGTGCAAATTACTTGTTTGAATCAAACCTGATACATTTCAAACTAAGGGTGCTTTCTGCAATCATCAGCTGGCAGGGCTGTGAACAATATAATTTACTTTCTGACATCTGTTTTTATCTTTTATCACAACATGACAAAACACTACATAGACAATGTCACATTAAAGCAGTGCTGCTGAGAGGAAATGCAACGCAGCTCCTCTGTGACTAAGATTTGCATTGATCCTGTGCCAACAATAATCTACATTCACAGGACGGCATGACCTGTGAATCTTCTGCCTGATTTGCCAGCATGTAGTAAAGTGAGTAACTCTCCAGATCTGCAAAGACACATAAAGATGCTGTGGGAGAAGCATTTCAGCCTGTGGTACTGTCTTCATGTTTTAGGCCACATCATTGGACAGTTCTGAAACTCCTCATGCAGATTTGACCTTCAGTAACACTAGCTGAGAAAAATATTCCATACACAAAGCGCACCTGTCTTTGAAATCAAAGCAGCTCTATATGGAAGACAAAAAGTATGCAAATAACTGCATGAACTTCCTGAATATTACCAAAAGTGACAATGCTCTCCACAGGCGACAGACTGGAGGCACTTTCTGATCAAAGAGTGTCTCTAGAGGGAGAGTGAGTGATTGGCTGAGTGTGTGTGTGTGTGTGTGTGTGTGTGCATGAGTGTGTACTGCACACTAAGCTTTTAAAAGATAAAGTGTCGAGAATGTACAAATTATGCGGACGCTCAGCAGCACTCTGGTTTCCACTCTGGTGAATGTTGAGGCAGCCTCTGTAGGATCTGATTGGTTGTATTTGAACGGTCAGACTGAGTTTCAGTTAAATCAGGGATTTCATTATTTAGCATAGATTATCATATTTACATTCCATCTAACACACTTCAAGTGTGTATTTACACATCAGAAGAATGGCGGAGCAGCTTACAGTAAGAGTCTTGCGCCTGCTACATGTCTTATCTACAAAGTGACTGTGAGAAAAAGCTTCTGTTCTTACTTCTGGTTTCATGTCTTTGACATTCAGGGTGGTAAACTGTACGCATGAGTAATTAAATCAGGAATCACATCTCCCTCATGAATAAAAACAACACAAAACAAGTGAACTCAAATTCTATGTATGACACATTACAGAAACGTACGCATCTATGAATAATGCATATTCAAATTATGGGCACCAGGACATCCACATGATGGCATAAACAATACTAACCTACATCTGTAAGAGGTGAGGGAGATACTGTGTTTCCCTGATCCAACACTGAGTTAATGTATGTTATTAGATGCTTTTGGAAATCTAAATCAGTCTGAGTGACCTTTCCAAAATAAACAGGTTATTATTTAGCATGCTAGTAAGCTGTGGGGATAACCTTTGGTTCTGTTTGTCCCACTAATACCCTCTCCATGGGACACCTGGTCGAGAAGGATCAATGTGTTGAAAGTTGTAAAATAAACTCATAATCAACATGGGTGGGGCTGAAAGCAAATGGCACCCAAAACCTATTAGCCCACCCCTTCCTTTATACTATGTCTTCAGTTTCTCTGTAGAGACTGTGACACTGAAAACACATTTTACCAACTGGACTGGACTTCTCTCTGCTTCTTAAAACTGCTTCTTACTCGGTCTCATGTATTTGCTGTGTTCAAGTCCAAAGAAGATGATATCATTGGCCCCTCACTGAAACAAGACCTTACCAGACAAAGCACTTACAATTTGTCTTTTGTTGACCCATTCACAAACACATTCATACAACAATGGTGGTGGAGCTGCCATGCAAGACGCTGGCCTGCCTTAAAAACTTGGGATTCTGTGTCTTCCTCAAGGACACTCCGACATGCATAAAGGAGGAGGATCGAACCGCCAAACTTGTGATTAAAGGATGACCTGCTCCAGCTCCTGAATCACAGCAATACGTACTGATCACCTTAGTTTTAGTTTAGCAGTTAGTTTACAAAAAAGTAAACATACTGAAACTTTTTATATTAACAGGAAAGATACAATTGTAATGAAGCAACATCTACACATGCACAGATGCTCGTCACACAAACTGCAACGTTGGTGTGAATGTACATTAAAGGGGCTCCATGTGAAATTCAAAGCATATGAGTTGTCCGTGCACTGTTCTCGACATGGAGGTGGCTGAGCCAGTGGCTAGCAGCTAACAGTGCTAACTCCATAAACAGTGCTAAACAACAACAAAAGTGCTGACAGAGCTAACAGTGTTAACCAGGGGGGAACTGGACGGTGGGGGCTACGCTTCTGTGATGACCCTGTCCTGATCAGCGATATGAGCGCAGTACAGAGTGGCAATGACGAGCTAGTCAGTGTGATACACACATGCACCAACATGCATGTGCGTCTGGACCAGCTTACCAGCTGACCAGCTCAAGACACACAGAGGGAGGATGACTTCATTCTCTGCTCAGGACGCCATTACTCCATTATATCCTTACTTAGCAAATAGTGATTTGCTGCGATATCAATGCTCTGGAGGTTACATATCGGACCTTTTCTCTTCTAAATTAGACATACAAATGTTTTTGCAAGGGTGTTTTTTTTCTGGTGTGTTCACAAAGCTGTTTTACCACTGTCTACAATGTTTTCCAACTGTGAGTAGCTCTTCAATTTCCTTTGAGCACTGCACTGTGCATCAACAACCCATTAAAAAAACAAGGGTTTTTTAGTATGCATACAGACTTCTTTGAGTATACTTCTCACTTTTTCAGTGTGAGCACAAAAATGAAAACCTATTTGGATTTAGTATGTAGTTGAATATATTATGGAATACATAGTAAATGTGTACAGCCATGCTAGCAGCTCTGTAGGGCTGCATTGCTCATTGTTACAATGGCCAAACAATGAGATGGATAAAACAAAGTATTGGACAAACAGAAATTTTGACCTGCTGGTGGAGCGAAATGAAAAGTTCTCCAAGACAATGAATGACTCCACCAAACTGCATGACACTCCATCCAATAATTGGTGTAATGTTTGCCATGTTCGCCGTCTTAGTTCAGTAAGTTTGCAGAAAGTCAATCAATCAATAAATCAATTTTATTTATAAAGCCCAATATCACAAATCACAGTTTGCCTCACAGGGCTTTACAGCAGTCCAGCTGAGATGGGTGTGTCATTGGTTTTGCAGGTATTTGGTCATAAACCAAAGTCATGGACAACTTAAAAGGTTGGCCTAATGATGGCGCTAGATTAAAAGCCAGAGGTTCACCAAACTTATCCCTTTTCATCATGAGGGGAACCTGAATGTCATTACAATTACTACATAATTTCATTACAATCCATCCAACTGCTGTTGAGACATTTCATTTTGTACCACAAGTGGCACTAGAGGAAAAGGCAAAGAATAACCAAGGACATTGGGATTCTCAGAACCCTGAATGTCTGAGCAAAATTTCATGGTCATAGATTTCTTTGTGCTTATTGAGAAAACAAAAGAAAGAAAATAAAGAAACAGTTTTTTCTACTTGTCATATATAAACATCTTAAATGTTCGAACTGATACCTCAGCCCTACCTTGGAGCTCTCTGAGGTTCCTGCTCCCTCCATTCTGTGATGTAACCTCCCAAATCCAGCTGATGGACAACTGAGCGGTCTTCCGTTAAGGTGAGAGGGGCCGCTGGGTTCCAGCTGGAGCGGGTGCTCCGATCCAGTCCTGTGGGCATCTGCAAAGTGGCTGTCTTTGGGACATCGTGTCTCAGGGGGCATCTGGGAGTCTGACAGCGTGCCAGTAGAAGATGAGATGGAAGAAGATAAGGAGGAGGAACCTGGGAGCCAAGAGTGACGCGACTCTGGGGGGATGGGAGGGGGACGCTCAGGAGGAGGCGGTGGAGGTGGGTCCCTCTGAGGAGGAGGCGGGGCTGGGAGAGGCTTGTCCTGTTTCCTGGACATGCCTGGTGATGACTAGAGAGGAAAGAGACATGGTATTTTCACTGAAATGATAAGAGACATTCAAAATAATGCTATACAAATTTCTAAATGACACCACGGTTAATGTTTTACTGTTGTTTTTATGTAAGTATTTTGTGGAAACTTCCTGTAAGAAATAAAGAGACTTTATGCAAAGATACTCTAGTTTTTGGCATTCAGTATGGTCACACAGCCCAGTCGCCAGAAGAAAATGTTGGCATTGTACATTTCTGCAAATCACAGATACATTACATTTGCACATTTCATTCATATCAAATCAGCGTTTTTCAAGTGACATAGTATATGAGCTGACTTTGTCATCAGGAGGTGGAGAGCATGATGAATGGTGGGACACCTTGGCGCAAATGACTCTGAAATGTGTCAAGGTTGTAAAGAACACACTTTATTTTACAACAAATTTCAGGCACAGAGATTTTATTTTGAAGTGCTGTTTCCTGCAGTAGAATGAGTGACAATGGACAGCTACTTGACAGAGACAGCAAACTAGCTCAACAACATGGTCAAACGAAATTATGATGCTAAGTGTATTAAACTGTGTGGACCTTAAACTAAATAGTAAGGAGAAATCTGGACCCTGGGGCTGGACTGGTTGGGAACCACTGCTTTGAAGACCTGTCTAAATTTTATTTTAAAATAAAATTATCATGTGACAGCCCACTGACACTTGACTTTGGTGATTATGTGCAGGAAATACAGGCAACCTATTTTTCTTTATATGTGGGGAACTGTGTGACTGACCTTCGGGGAGCCGGTGGGACTGGCAGACGGGGAACGGATGGCACCCTTCTGGATGAGGTCGAGTCGTGGCGGGACTGGGGGAAGGCCGAGGTGCTGGACACAGTGGCTGGTGTCTCCACCCTGGACTTTTCTGTGTTGGCTGACAGGTGAAGAGCTGGGAGACACCATGGGCGAGTTCTGACGCTCTGCACAGTGCTGATAGAAAAGTAAATAATCTGTTAAAGGGCTGTTCAGTCATTTATGACCAGCTGTGGTGCAGTGTTGTAAGAGAGTTAACCATCTGTTCATATTTATTAAACTGCTAAAAGTAAAATTCTGGACCAAGTGAAAGATAAAAGTAGAAAATCTTTACCTTAACCCTAAAAATTAAAAATGTAATATAATGCCTTTAAATTTAAGAGAGCTTGAGAGACATTGTAAGGGCAGATCATAGATGACTTTAGTAGGGAAACAGAGATGAGGACACACCATTTAATACACGTTCTGGACTGATTGTACAAAATGATCATTGATCATCAAAAATAATGTGTCAGTTTAAGCAATATGTGTGTGCAGTAGTTTTAACAGACTATTTGCATTTGATCTTAACATGTAATAGGATGTTACTACTTTCTTTGCAGTTATCAGGGCTGCGAAAAACAAAAATATACACGACAGTGGTTTTGTTTGGAATCACTTTTCATGCACCTTTACTGTCTGCTCTTGTCATTGTGCTCCTAAATTCTCATATTTTTTCTCTGATGCACCTCGTCTACTAAAAATTCCTCCAGTTAACCTTTCTTTTTGTTAGTATTTCAGCAAAATTGATATTGGCGGATACCGATGACGTGCCACTTTTATTGTGCATCCCTAACTAAAAGAAAAGAATAATCTGATTTTGTGAAGCCCTTTTACCTACCACCAATCAACAGATCAACTACCAGCTGGTTCTGCAGGTCTTTACCTTCCTGATGTTGGCCAGTCCATTCATCACCAGGCAGTCCTCTCTGTCTTCCTCATCATCCAGCTCCAGCATGGGACAGCTGTGTTGGTCTAGGAAAAAGCACTTGTTGCCCTCATTCCTTGGGTCAAAGGGATCAACAATGATGGGCTCTGTGCCTTTGATCTCACAACGACAGAATGGACAACCCTGACCATCCGATTCCTGGAACAGATAAGAGAAAGGGTTTGCATGATTTGTCATGCAAACACACACACCAACATACACAAGCTTTAGTATGGCAGGGACATTTGTAACCCTACAGACGTTTCAAGATCTAACAATCTGATGAGCATGGCTTTGTTGCTGCTGTGTTTTGGGAACATGAGGAATCACTTGGGCTGTGGAACAGGAAGGCTTGTTTCTGCACACAGCTGGGATACACATGGTTAAGGTTATGTGCTGCACTACTGCCCTATATCTTACTCGCATTTCCCTCATTCATGCAAGGATTCTGGCAAAGTCAACCGGACACATGTTTGCGTAGATCCTCTCCAGGGAAAACTGTTTTGCGACTTTACAACATTCATTGGCCACATGTACATATTCCACATGGCTGCCTCTGTCAAACAGGGGTCATAAATAATAGGATAAAAGAGGTTTCGGTTTTCAGTGCATCTCTCGCCATTGACTCAGGGGCTACAATCAAAGGCACACAATATTTACAGAGAACAAAGCTGCATTTGTGGTGGCCATATGGTTGGGGACTTGGCGGTGGACGCACCAAATGCATGTTTGAAATTGAATCCTAATTAGAGTGGGTGGAGAAGGGAAGGAGTGGGAGGCTGAAAGGAAGGGAACCCAGACAGGGGAGGAGATGGTGTGATGGTCGGAGACACTGAGGAAACTGTTGAGCGACAGACGCGACTTAAGTGACAAACTAAAACAAACTGCTCCTGAACCTCTGTCATGATGAAGGGGAAAAACCTGTCCAGCTTTACATCAACTCTGAGCTATGCAGAAAATAGCCCTTTTGTTCAAAAACAAGCTGTTGGTATACTCAAGCTTCCCACATTAATTTAGTGACTTGCAGATGTCTTGACACCGAGGTTAAAAGTGGGCAGCACTGGTTATGGAGTAAAGCTTTTTTAAATGTCTAGTTTAAATATAACCATCGTTTCAACAGCATTTGAATTGACCGAACTTTAATGGGTAGTCAATTAAGTAGCCCACTAATGTATGTAACTTTGACATCTAAACACATGCATTTATTGATTTCTTTAGGATCACTTTTTCATAACACTAGAAACAGTACTGACATACTGCATTATCCTTTATAAAGTTGATATTTTGATGCATGTTTGCTAATAGCTGCCTTTTCACACATCTGGTAAACTAAGTTTGAGCAACATTAACATATATTTAGAGTCATGTGTCTGGCCACCTGTGATATTCACTCTCTTTTTTGCTCCGGTTTGGTCTCCACCGTCTCCTGATCATAAAATGTGGCTCTTTAGCTGCAGCGTGCTTAAGCAACTCGCTGACAAACATATGCTGATGAGAGCAGTGAGAATGAACCAGAACAGTAAAGCTGTGAGCCATAATACCAAAACAATGTACTCAAAGATGCTAAAATGTTAAACAGAGCTAGGGGGCACTGCAGAATCAGGTGATTATTCTCTGCAGGTTTGTCACTATGAGTGACACATTTTACAATATACAGTGGCAGCCATTTAAAGTAGTCAGCTGAGCCCTGACAGGGTTTGGGCTTATTTACAGCCGATGTCCGCTAGGAATCAATGACATACAGTATAAAATAAGCACCCACCAACTGTACCACAGCGCAGAGGAAAGAGTGTATGTATGGACAAGAGTAGGGTCGGGTATCATTCACATTTGAACCAATGGCGGTGCCGGTTCCAGTACCTGGAATTCCTTAAGGGTACCCAGCAGTACCTTTTTTCAATACTCTACTTCCTCTGTAATAACAACAAAAAAAATGTAACAAGCTGCAGGGGTTAACTAAAAACACAATTCTGCTCCCCCTTTTTTTGTTGGGCAGCATTAGATCAGTCCATAGGAACTTGGAAACCGGAGGGTCGCTGGTTCAAGTCCCCATATGGACCAAGTATAGAGCATGGACTGGTAGCTGGAGAAGTACCAGTTTGCCTCCTGGGCACTGCCATGGTACTGAACCCCCCACCTGCTTGGCGCACCTGTCCAAGGCAGCCCCCTCACTCTGACATCTCTTCATTCAATGATTGTTTGTGCATGTGCGTGTATATGACAACAGAATGAAAAAAAATTGAATTTCCCCTCTGGGATTAATAAAGTATAACTTCTCTTTCTAAAACATGGAGCTAATGTTGTGTCTCTGTCTGTCTGCTTGTCTGTGCATATTTGTCTGTGTTCGTGTGTGTGTCTGCTCATCTAGCAGTGATAACAGACTATTACTAAAATGATATAGAAAAAGAAAATACTCTGAATGCAAAAGCTATCACAACAGATCGGTGCTGCAGCAAGAGTTTTGGCTTGCTGTCAAACCGACTGAATGGCTGAATGAGTGGCTGTGCAAATCTGTGACCGGCTTTCCAGCTTTGGGGTGCCTCTGCCTCCCATCTAAAGTTGAGCCCAGCAGCTCCACAAAGCTTCACTATCAACCTCAGAGTTCCGTGGCTGACTTCCAGGCTTCGGGGCACTTCGCGGCACTTTCACCTCTTATCTAAACCTGGTGTTCTCACCCAGATGCACTCTCAGGTACCGACATTTCACACTGATGAATTTAACGTGAATTGGTACACAGTAGTAGTGACAGCATCATCTCACAGATTTCTGGAAAGAGACATTACTGTTGAGTTTTTCAAATGGATTTTTTCAATGTTTTGAGCACTGCAAGCTGAGCACCATCTTGTTCCATTATATTGGAGAGAAAGCAGACGCCTCTACGGCTGATATCTCCAACACTGGGCAACTTACACCAAAACAATCTAGATTGATAAACAGCACTACAGGTAATAGGAAATATATGTATTTTTGATTTTGGAATGAAGTGTCCCTTTATAAGGAATAAATAAATTACAGCAGCTTTCAACATCATCCACATTTTTGGTTGGGTTAAGCAGTTTTTGTCCATATGTCCAGATCTCTTTGACCTGAAAGTCACCAAGGCTCTGTTTGCATCAGTCTGAACGATGTTGACTTTCGTGGAAAGACCTAGTTACCACTTTCCAATGCTCTTGATCCAGTCATTAGATGGATACACAACCCTCATCATCTAATGGAACCTACAGTCTGCTAAATAAGAGAGAGAGAAAAGCCCCTGTGAATCACTCAGTAATTCCTCACTACATTGATTCAGGAAAAAAATAATAGCAAGAACAAGGGAACCCTCTCATGTGCCCCCATACTCTGCAGAGATCAAAAAGGGTCATTATAAAGAACAGGATGTAGAATTACATCAGCCAACTGTGGGTGTCTGATCCACCCCAGCTGACTAATATACAGAGTGAGAGGACCGATAGGGAACCACCACTGAGTCAATGACCTGAAAGGACCACTGCTGGATTACTCACTGTCACAGGGTAGGAGGGTTCCCTCTCTCTCTGACTCACTGTTTCATTAATGTGGCGGAAAATACTTCATTACTGAAGCACACACATATGTTCACACACGCAGTGACACACGTCAGTCAGTCATTCAGTGACTGAGGTTGTAGAGGAGGCGGGGTCACAACGAGTTGTCATAACAGGAAGTATGACAAACAAGCACTGTTAATGTGGGTGCTGTTGGGTCCCACTGTTTACAGAGCAGAGGACTGAGCTCTGGAAAGACTGCGCTCATTTGCTTAACCTACAGCTGTGTTCATACTGAAAAAGGTTTCCAGCTCCGTAGGCATGAAAATGAACTTCTTAAGAACAAACCAAACACTTGTGTGCACTCCAAAAGCTGCTCAAATGCTGGAATCAGGGTTTTCCAAGACCTTTTACGTCAAGGACCGTTGAACTTACACTCTGTGAAGCACAGATCTATGTTTAGTAAATGCTTTCATTATTTCTTTGTTACAATAACTGTGACCAAAAATATTTGATCTGGGGGCAGATAACCCCAAAAAGAAGTTGTGGTATAATTTGACTTTTAAGCTTGTTTGTTTTTTTTGAAGATTAATGAAAAGTCTACAAAAACACTACAGAGGATGACTTCCTGTGAGGGTAAGCACAGGCTGACTGCGTTACCACAGCAGCTACTGACGAGCCTTTAGTTCTTATCATGTTTGCAGTTTCACCAAAAGACACTTTCATCTTTACTTTGGTTAGCAAAACATAAAAAGCAATGGATTTGAATATGTTTTCATGGTATAAAATGTGTTTCATTGTTTGTTCATTTAGACACCCACCCCTGACTAATGCAATGCAAACAAAAAGCTCATGATAAATGGAAAGTATTCTAGCCCTGACTGACTGAAAAACAAAGTGCACTCAGCCCCGTGTATAAAACCTTGACTCATTGTCCTCTGAATCATCTTCCATGTCCTCCCTCGCAAAAGCTCCACTGCCAAAGTAGATGTTTGAAAAGCAGCGTTGTGATATGGTGTGCTTGTGTAAAAAATACAGAATGCATAATACAAAAATATAAATAATGCAAGATTTGCTGTTGGTCTCTACTTGAAACCATTCCAGTTAGAAAACAGAAGGAGTCCAGTGATAGGTTTCTCTTGTAGAAAGTTTCCAAATATATTCAACACCAATCAAAAAATATCCTAATTTGTCTGCTGACTAAAAGTCTTTGATATGAACCCCTCTGAGAATTACAACAAATGTACTCTCCACCAACTCAAAATAACCTTGATACAGAATTGTCATTGCAAGTCAGGCTTTTGGGCTTATGTCCAGGACTGCAGGGAGAATGTGTATGTGTGTGTGTGTGTGTGTGTGTGTGTGTGTGTCTGCCAGAGATCAATAACATCAGAGTCAGTGCAGACCTCGTACATGTCTGGAGAGCCACCTCTCTGTGACTGCAACACAGATGTCCCACACAAAGGAGAGAGGCAGGGGGAGTCTTTGGACTCGATGCTAATGACTCATTAGGGGAAGGTAATTACAAACACACTTTGCTGGCACAGCTTCTGAGTGCACAAGCACAATGAACGCAGCGGTGCAGGACAGTGTGCTGTGGGATGCAAACATTACAAAAAAATAGCACACAGCAGGAAGCAGAAAAACACACGCAGAAACACTGGAATATACCGTGTGCACACATTCTCAGTTTTCACTCCCACTACTGACTGATATGTGGAAATTTGATTAGGATAGATGCAAGGACACAGCGAGGAAGTGAGTGAGGGACAGAGTTTTTTTTTATCTTGCAGTGGAGGCTAAAAGCTGCTTCTATTATTCAGTAGTCTCTCCTCATTTATATACAACCGCTTTTTTAGCTTCAAACTCAAAACTCTAAAAAACCCTTGGTTATCAGTGTTGAATAGCTCAGAAAACATTCAGATCAGCATCGAGAACAGAGATAATGTGATGATGTAGACGTACAGATTCTGTCATTAACCCACAGTGTCCCATGGATGTGTGTAATGGAAAAAGCAATCGGTCAAAGCCACAGATGTGCCCCCTTTGTTCAAAGAAATGGTCTGGAAATAAGTTTACGCAGTACGGTTCATTACTATACCTGCCAGGCTGTGAGACAGGAAGTACACATGAGGTGACCGCAGGGTTCAATCTTGACGTCTTTGTCGTTCTCAGCGCAGATCTTACAGAGTTGGAAGGTGGAGCCCATTTCACAGTACAGCTCATACTGCTCCTGTTCAGGCAGAGTAAACTCCTGTTAGTCATCAAGTGATGCACATATCTATTCTAACTATACAAGAGAACAGACACTAAACTATACAGACACAGTAAAAGCTTCCCACCACGGCCTTAATGTTCTGTGATGTTTCCCATCTCTAATGCAGAACTATTCCATGACCTTGAATAGTCATGGTTAATGATGTTGTCAACAGGGGTGAATAATCTATTTTCTGTCTCGGTCATGGTAAAATCACTGGAAAACAAATCATATGACAATGTATGTTACCCGTCTGCAAAATCCCCTAATATTTACTGACTTCCCTGTTTGGAATACACTTCTAAAAATATCATCTTATCAGAAATTCCCAGTCACACAGCAGCAGCCTATCATTTTCTCTTCACACACTATCATTTGGTCAAGCCAATAAAAATTAGCTTGAGACAACATTACAACTACAGTTGGTAACTTCAATAACAATAACTGTTTATTATATTTGCTGGCACTGTCACTACAACCTGACAGTAGCACGGGACAGATTATCTGTAAAAAAAAATAATCATACTGCTCTGCCTCCTCCCCTTAGTGCTTCCAAAGGCATTATCGTATGTCAACAAATACAACCAAGCAGAGCCGAGGACTCTCTAATGTCAGCCAGGTCAATCACTACTTGTAAACTGTGGTCAAACTTTAAAACTAGACAGTGCTGATCATATATGAATCAAGATTCTGTTACGGCATTCTTTATGTCTCACCTCAAATGTTTTTGGAAACATATATAAGTTGTTTAGCTGTAAAACGAGAACATTTGTGACCCGGCCGCCGAGTTGGAAACATGAGAGCCGCCCACCAACCAGTAAGGGTGGCAATAGCACAAAAGTTGGTTTTGATCTGATACCAAGTAATACAGAGCCAGAATCCCCCATATCAATATCAATATGATACAATACGATCTGTTATATTATTAAATGTGGCAATTTTTTGTTTTATGAAGGGAAAAGCTAATGATGACCAGTTACAGTTTGAAAATGTAACATTAAGCAATGCTGAAGATCTGATTTGACTAAAACATTCATTTCACTAGGCTACTATATACCTGGATATTTATTATCTGAGGCTCTCTAAAAAGACACTGTCAGTGAACTTGGTCTCTGTGGCAGAGGTCTGGATGTTGACGCATTTCCCTCATCCTCCCTTCCTTTTGGTTCCAGCCCAGATTTCTCTTTCTCCTGTTTTGTCCTCTTTCATTAAGCTATGATTGCTAGATGTGTATACAACAATGGAACAATGTTTGCACAGACAGTTTCACTCTTGAAATACAAATAGGTGCAATGTAAAAGAGAGAAACAAATAAAATTTGTTATTTACAGCTAAACAGTACACTAAAATATGTTTCTGAAAACATCTGAGGTGAAAAATAGGAAATGCAGTGACAAAATCCTGATTTATATTTGATCAGCCCTGCCTAGTTTGACCACAATTCACAGGCAATTATTGACATGACTGACAGTTGTGATAAAGGCTCCTCTGGTCTGATTGGTTGTTTTACAACATTCTAGTAAATGCTATTAGAAACACCATGTGGAGGCAAAGGAACATCAAAGGAAAAGGAAATATGTGGTGGCAATTCTGGAAAGATCATCAACTTTCAGCCTAACTTTACACAAAAATCTGTTTCATTTCATAACATATTTCATATAATTTTCTAAACACTGCATACTGAGCATACCGCAACATATTTGGTCAAATTCAGTCAGTTCTCAGTGAGCATTTTCCACCCTTAAATGTCATAAGGAAAACTGAGCCTACAAGATGTATTCTGGCTCTGTGAGGCTAAGAAATTCCATGACCACTGGGAATCATTAACATTACTCTGCTTATTCAGATGAGGTGTGTTTTCAGTCATACACACACACACACACACACACACACAAACCCACTTGTGTCACTTTGATGTGATCATGAGGCGTCGGCTCACATAAACCAGTGAGGTCAGGATTGTAACTGCGACCATCGGGGAACAAGTAGCTGCAAATGAGACAAAAAGTTTCAGCAAGCTAACAGTCACAAACACACAGCAAGACATCTGCACGACTTATTGATTTAAGTCATGTTTTATTAGTCATGTCCTCTAAGAGGTTATCAAATATGAATTTTACTTACTGCACTTAAGGGATTTTTACATGTTACATATATGATATTTTACACATGTAAATGTGTAAATAACCCATAGATATGTTTCACATTATGTGCTAAAATATGATGAAACAAAAATCCTTACAATGAGTAGCAATTAGAACCACTAGCGGCAATGGGAGCTCTTGTAGTAACAGTTTTAAATTAATCCTGATGTCTGACTGACACATAAATTATGAGCAGAAGTTAAATGATTGAAAAACACTAGAAGTCTTAAATTAAAAAACATATGAGTTAGTAATATCTCTCTGTATGGAATAAAAAGTACAATATAGCCATCAGCAATTATTACAGAACTAAACTTAAACTCTTTTCCAATTGAAGCCCATTTTGCAAATTAATTCTGCATTTACAAGCCTGATTAATTACTACCATCATGACTGACATTTGAAAGAGCGTCTGATGAGAGCTTAACTTCCCCCAGAGTTGCTGGGGTCTCCCTGCTTGATCAAAAACAGAGGTGCTTCAAACAGGATCCCCCCCTCCTCCCCCATCTCTCTCTGGCTACAGTGGACTTGAAAGAAGACACGCCGCTCCTTGAAGAGCCCCAGCCAGCTGCAGTTGATGGCTGAGGGAAGCGAGACGCCGCACACTAAATGGAGGGAAGCTTGTTTGATTTGTCTGGGGGCCTGTCAGATTATCAGGTACGATAGAAACAGATGGTCTCGCAAAACGACTTGAGGCTCAAAGACATCCTCTCGTCTGTCTGAGACAAAAGAAACACCTTGTTTCATCTAGGAAGTGGCTTTCAGAAAAGAGGCACTACAGTGCGCTCTGCAGAGAAACATTTAAAAACTATGCAAATCAGACATGACTGATTGAGACAGTTTCTCATTTGGATACAGCGGATACACAGTGGATAGTTTAGCACAGCTGATCAATATACAAACAGCGAGTGAGCTAGAGAGAGATAGAGAGAGAGAGTGTGTGAGTGTGTGAGTGTGTGATAGGTTACGTACAAGCCCTCTCTGTAGCCATCAATGAGGGCCTGGAACAGCGGTTTGTTGTGGGGGATGGTCTGCAGTATGTTGCCATCATTAGTCACATAGCCAATGGCCCACTGGCCCAGCCGTGTACAGCTCAGTCTGAAGATGTAACTGTTGGAGACAGACAGGACAGACGTGCACGGTTCACACACACAGGCTGCTAAACAAAACATGTACCAAACTTTAAATAACAATGCTAAAGCAATACAACATTTGAATGTAAAGGTTCCTGTGAAAATATATGCAGAAGACTCAAAGAGCTGTGAGTGAACTGCTGCAATTAACTTTTAATATAAAAAGTGTTTTTCAATAAATGTTAACAGCATAACATCCTTATCAAACTTTGACTAGTCATAAATAAGCTACTTATTAATATGTTTATTGACTTTAAGCTGAATCATAATTATATGACCATAACGACAGATAAGATTTTATTGTCCTGTATTTTCTGCTGCCACCCTTGCTAGATTTTGTTCATGGTTTTATTTTGTACTCTTTGTTGTTGTAGGCATTTAAAAATTAAGTATGTTGAATTTACATGTAATAAAATGTGCTACATAAATAAAAGTATTTTGTTTTGCAAAGGGCACTCTTTTCAAAGATCAGGTCGACTTGGGATTCAACATGTTTAATCAGTGTGTCCGCCTTGGATTTTTTTCAACAGCGGTGCTGAAGTCTTTTTGCCGTATTTCGATCAACCTCACTCACAGGCCAGAAAACAGGTTAGTAAACAGCAGAAAGCAGCGTGAAGGCCTGTGAAAACTTTACAGTGGTTACTTCTTTTTATATATCTCTCTCTTTCAAACTCAATGCACATGAATTTGGATTGATGTTTGAGCATAGTTCGGGCAGAGATGGACAGTATTTTGTAGTGGCAAGTCATTGCATCTCGTCGGTAAAATTAGCATGTTCACCCTCATGTTGTGTTTCTGTCAAAGCCGGAACCGATAAATACCCATGACCACTGCTGAATCATTTGATCTGGGTGTGAATGCCAATAATAACCTTTCTTGTTATATTAAAAAAACAGATGTTAGCAGGTTTTTTTATGCAGTGGAAAAGGGGCTAAACATTGCTTGTACAAACAAATAATGATTGTTAACATGTAGAACACAGATACAAGTTACCTTGATAAAAAAATGTATCCAAATAGTTCAAGATATTTTTGAGTAATGACATCATAACCAAAAACTGCTACAGTCGCCCTCAGTCTCTCCTACTCAACCCTGTGTTTCCAGTCACGGAGACAAAACATCTTAAATCCTGGAGAAATGCAGATGAGAAAGAGCTGGTATACATTAAGATGCAAAATTATATGTCAATAGCTGAGTGTATCGCAGCCTCTACAGAAGTGCATCTGGACAGGCAGGTGAGCAGGACATAAATAGCAACATTCAAACCATCAATGTATCTGTGAAATCAAATCAGTGTGAGCTAGTTTGTCACAGTAAAAAAAAAAAATTGTATGTAGAAAAGTGTCTCTTGTGTTTTTTTGGTCATCTAATTGGCTCCTCTAATCGACCTTTAAACTATTTAGAACAAATATTGTCCGATACTGATCGGTGGCCGATAGATTGCAGGATCCTTATCAGGGGGTGTTCAGTTTATAAATCTTGCTCATCCCTAAGTCTTGCAGCTTACAGTAAAGATAGCAAGTTAACTGTGTATGGGGAGATTTTTATACAGCAGCAGTGCTTATCATTTAGCAACAATGCAGCACCACGGCTAAATTCATGTAGGAAAAACGCTGTTAATTATAATCATACACAGCAGAGTGGTTGAGATGCATTCAAACAACTGCCTCAACAAATAAAGCAAACTCTAAGTCTTTTTAGTTTCACCATTTGTATATGGTGTGACTGAAAATCCCCTTCTGCTAAATTGAAAATATAAAACCACTATGTGGGACACACTGCAGTCAGACCTCTATAACTATTGCTGCTATGTTGCGTGTGATTGTGTGTGTGGGGGCTTTTAGTGGTTTAAGAAGAAAAGATAGATTGAGTCCTCTTTAGGACAAATGAAGCTTCAGCTCTGTCCTTGGAAAGACTTTACGTGATTATTGGGTGCAAATATAGAGATAAAAACTCATTCTTTGAATTATCTTTGAAAACGTAATGGGCTTTCAGATTTGGCTTATTTGAGGAAGGACATTTGCATTTGCTGGCACTTTTCAGGATTATTTCCAGGGGTGAAAGTGGATTTAGGTTCATGCCGGTGTTACTACCCCAACCTCTATTGCTCCATGTTTCTGCTCTGGCCCCCAGTTTCATGCATCCATAAAACTAATACTCAGTTTTTTAATGCTGGTATGGTGTAGATAGAAAATAAAACACTTGCCATCATATGTAGCAAATAATTTAAATGGTGTAAGTGCCACAGAATAATTCCTGAATTTTGACAAAATTATCAAAAATGAGAACAATGTTTTGTTTTGAATTAAAAGAAAATTACACTAAATTCATCAAAAACAGTCCAATAGTTTAGAAATCTCTGTCCTTGAATTTTAAGAACATAAAAAACAACTTTCTAAGAGCAAAGTTATTGAATATTTGGGCACACTGTAGGCCTATAAAAGTGATTTTTTTTTTTCAATAAAAATTCTCCAAAATGATTTTGGTGACACTACACTGTTTAAGAGTAAAGTTATTGATTATTTCGTATTATCTCTTTTTTGTGTTGCACTTTGTAGATGGTCCCTGCGCACGTGTCTCACAGCCAGTGGCTGTGTTTTGATGAAATGTAGCATGTTGTTTATGTCATTATGGCTAGAATACGAAGTATGAATACAAATACAAATATGAATATGTCATTAAGACATGTATAAAAATGTGTATTCACCATAGCACATCCCACAAAACGCATACATACAACATTTAGGCTACACAAAAACAGAAACACAAAATGCTACAAGACGGAGGTGTCATTGTGTTTTAAAAAAGTTTCGCTTGTGAGTTATTGATCCAGGCACTTTAAATCTGTGAATATTTTTCCAGCTTTACCAAACTGGCTAAGGCAGGCAGGCAGCTGTTGTCCCCTCTGTCCAGTACTGTGTACTGACACTGAATATATGAGTGGTAAAGAGTACCAGACCATACCAGCCTACTTTCAACCCTGATCATTTCATCAACAGCCATGGCGAGTCTATCCCTAGAAATAACGCTAACAGCCTTTTAGAAATAGCCTCATGATTCAATTGCAAAGACCTGATGTGATCAGTTACACCTGAGTGACCGCTGGGGGGTACAACAAATGAGATCATTACAACTCACCCGCTTCAATCAATGATAAATGAGCCAATAACCAAATAACCAAGAAAACAATGTTTTTTTTTTCTATGGTGAAATATGAACTTTCTACCTTTGGCTTTTATATAAAACTAAACTGCAACAAAAAATGGAGCTTCTGCTGCTTCTTTCAAGCTTTTGTGATTTCCTCGTGCAAATCATAGCTGAATACAAAGGGAAGAGCTCAGCACGAGGTGGAACAATCTGAACGTGAAAAAGATGTGGAAATGAGAAAGAGGAGGTATTATAAATTCAGTTCAGTATGAGTACTGGGCTTAGAGCGAGCCTTGACCACAGTATGATCCCACCTCTACCAGCAACAAAGGCACCAAGCTAAATCCACCAGGGCTTTGACTGAGAAGAGATGTGGGAAGGCAGTTTGAGAATTTCAGACTGTTTTACTGATGTTAATAAGATTAAGGTTTCCTCTCTCACGGTAAGAGCTCTGCTGAGGATAGAAAGTCTGCCTGCCTGCCTACATGATAATCACACATGCAGTCCCACATGCATTACAATTGCTTTATCATCACTCTCAGTGTGATAACCACGTTTGGTGTTAATGTTTAACTGAGATATGATCATTTTTCACCAATCTGTAAGATCTGGTTTATCCCAACTGCATAAACAGAAGTGGGTGTGTGTCTTTGTGGTGTAGTGTGGGCCTGTGTGTGTGTTTGAGTGTGTGCCTGAGTGAGTTGAAGTGGTAACATGACATATGACCGCCCTCCCCCACACAGCTGTGTGTGTTTGATCCAGTGTTGGTTCATAACAATGGCATCTGCATGATTCACTCTGTGATCAGCATACTATACATTTGCATAGTCAGACACACAGACACATTTAAGCCCCTTCCATGCTCACTTACACCACACGCACACACACACACACACACACACACACACACACACACACACGTTTCCTGTCCTGTCATTATCTGCTCTGCTCTACCATGCCACCACGCAAGACCGCCTAATCACAGGGCATGCATGGCTCAGCTCAAGGCTATATGAGCTGCTCGCAATGAATTAGCACTGTTTTTAAAGGTATTTTTTCAAGCTACTTTCTTCCCCCCACCAGGAACTTGCCACGTGGAGGGAAAAAACCCTTAAGATTGCCACCAAACCAAACACAGCTTGCCAGCATTCATTTTGGAGATCAGCATGTAGGCTTTTGCCTCAACACACACAAGCACTTAATCCATATTATTGCAAAATTTGTTTTCCAAAAAGGTTGAGTAAACTCTATTATAAAATGACTTACTGCATTTTTACATAGCATCTGACTTTCTTTTTGATGTTCTCACAGTTTTTCACTTTTCTTTCATAATTCTGCTGTTGTTTAAACTGATCCAGGCCAGCTGGATTTCCTTCACTGATTCTTGCTGTGTTTAGGGACCATATACGTGCACACTGCTGCTATCATAAGCTTTAAAACAAATATGTGACATGTTTTATGAATATATATGACAGTAATAAGTAGCTTAGGGAAGGTTTTTCAGACTGCGGCTCAGAGGTGTGACAGTAAAGCATGACCTGTTTATGACACACATAATCCTAAATGCAAATTTGGTAAAGTCAAAAACATTCTTTATTTCTGACTGATATTTGTTGCCTTTAAGCCAGTGCTCTAAGGCTATTTGCTACGGCAACCAAGGTTGTAAATATTCATGAGCATATGTGCAGAGGAGATCAATGGTTTTATCCCTGAAAACTGGATCCTGAGACAGACATTGACTTTCAGACCTGGCTGTGTGTCTGCACTAGATAACTAGAAAAGTGCACTCAGTAGAGCGCAGATATCCGCCAGGCGGCGCTGATCGCGACCTCACTAGACAATGCATGTGGTGCAGCAGCACCCGGTGGAGCCCTCTAGGCTCCCTAAAGCTGAAAACATACCAGCGACGTGGCTGTGCAGCGCATCATCTAATGCGTGTCAAGTGTCACCCCTAGCACACAATGGATGTGTTTCACTGCAGCTTGTCAACAGATGACCACGCAAAATTATTACTACTTTTACTGAAAGATCTGTACGTCTAGCAGCTGCTGGTGTGGGGTTGTACGTCGAAAATAATACAGCCATATTTTGCAATGCTTGGCATTTGCCGCTGGTGTGTTTTGGTCTTTACAGTCATAATGGCAGGTAAAATAACAGCAAGGGCAATTTTTTTCATCTTGTATCGTGCATAACTTTAGTGAAAATAATTTGCAGATGCTCCACTTTAACATGAGCACAAACTTGTCTATGGATGTCAGTTTTTAGCCATGATGAAGGCCACAGCCTGTCTTGAAACAGATGCTAGGGCTTCTTGTTTGCGAAATGACACAATTTCTGCAAATGCTTTTTGCTACATGCTTTTGTTGATTACTTGCGGCCCCTACCATCCATTTAAGAGGAGTGAGGAGTCAGCAGTCAATGACGATATAAAACAGATTTTTCAGCAATTGTGAATCACTGTAACCATGAAAGGTCCTTGAGCAGTTATACATGCGCACGCAAAATATTGGGCAGATTGGTCCGGTAGTTTTCGAGGTTAGCTGCAGACAGACAGATACACACACTCACAGATGTACACACACACACACACAAACACACACACACACACACACACACACACACACACACACACACACACGACCAAATGCATGATCCTCTTCAGGCTTTCACCTGGTGGAGATAACAACGGAGAAGCTGTAGGTGACCAGCAGAAGGGTTCAAATTACCCAAACAGTCCAAGTTTTTCACCATTAAACTGTGATCAAAATCACACGTACACATATACATACATGTGGACAGATGGACGAACAACCTGAAAACATATTGCTGGCCATCACCGGCGTGGAGGCATAAAAAGTTAGTTTCAGAGAGATGCTTAAACCCTACTTACTTCCTCACTGCCACACAACTGGCCAATCAGTGTGAGGTGGGTGTAAACAATTATTGGTTTCATAAAGTTACAGAAACTTTTGGACACAGCCCTGAGCCACTCTATTCCTCAGCTCTATTAATACCTCATCAGTGTTCCGCTTAAATAAAGCTTCCATTTAATTTCATGTTGGGTTGAAACATTCCTGTTACCGTTTAACTTATTACTATGTTATTTGATGCTTTCTATTGCTTTTCACAGCGTATCATATGTATGCCAATATGATTAACAGCATTCTAAATCAACTAAGAATATTTATTTTCTAACTTTAACTTTGCTTGCTGCTCATGTAGTCTTGATATGTAATGTCATAGAGAAATACTCTGACATCAAATTTTAGGTACCAAAATAGTTACCCTACCTGCCAGGCTTGTTGATGTACTTGTGCAGTCGGGCCTTGACTTCATCATATGTAAGGAAGGCCATGTAGCCAGGGTGTGTCACCGCCAGGAAATTCCAGTTCCTCAGAATTGATCCCCACGGCTGAAAAAGACCAGTCAAAGTTGTTTTAATGAAACAGATTAACATGTATTATTTTTTTCATATTATCAGCATGAAGTTACATTGAGTCAGTGTTTTGCCTCAAATAAATAGTAAATAGTAATATCATAGTATACTGACTTGGCTGAATCTGAATTCTCTGGCTGTCATCAAGTTAGTAAGTAACAAACCAATTGAGGGAGAATGCAGAGCAGCTCAACAACTAGGAGTTTCAGGTTGAGCATACGACAGTCTCGTTTGAGGTTTAGACCATGCTAACTTGAATGGGGATAAAAGAACTAATTTGGGTGACTCTTCTGGACTTTCCAAATGTTATCAGACCGAACTGGTCAAATTCTGATAGTGAAATAAATCATTTTGCCAGGGGTTTTATCCACGGTTTTACTGCCACAACAGTAGCGACAAAATAGGCTACAGCGCAGCCTTTAATGTAAGCACAAGCTTACCTAACTTGGTTGTGACTGGCCAGTGAGCCCGCATGCGCTCATGCACACAACACTCCTAGTTATGTTATATTCCAATTAATTCCAGGACCCACAGTTTATTTTTTAAAACATAGTCAAGAGAAAATAACAGTTCATCTGTTAATGGCTGGCTAGCTTAAATGTGTTTTTCCTGAATGACAATCACACTTGCTGCTAACGTTTAAATAAAAAAAAACTGAGCACAAATTCATCTAAAAAAAAAATGTACATTGCCACTGACAGATGAGCTGTTTACATCCAATCTCTGAATTAAGACCAAAACGCTGTGGGGCATTGTGTTTGGAGGTCTTCAGTGAGACTGCCAGTTGGCTCCAAGGTAGAGGCAAATGCCACAACATTCACCTGCCTGTTAGCTGGAGCTCACCAGGCACAATGCTCTGTTGCCCTTACTGTGTAGCTGGATTGGCAGAGGAAAAAAAACTAATGGATACTGGAATTACTGGCCTTCGGGCTGAAATGGCAGTGGAGCCAAGCCCTGACCACTCTGTGAGTTTGTTGATTTGAGCTGTAAACTGGACAGTGGCCCGGCCCAAGGAGGCACGCGCAGCCAAATTTAAAAAAAAAAAAAAAAACTCCACTAACTACTGAGTCTGACACAGAGTGGAAAGCAAAGCAAGTTAAAACACCCCTCTCACTCTGTCCTTAATGGTCAGATCACACATTTGTGTTATATGAGTTAAATCATTTTGTCAATTTTAATGAGAGCAGAAGCTGTCACATGACCTACAACTAGTTGACACACATGTATGCACTTATGATGAATAATGTGGAGCCTCTGATCCTTGCTCTGCCTCTTAACAGGACTCCTAACCAGTGAATCAACCAGGGCAGGGACATGAGGTTGACCACAGCTAACTGCCTTGACTGCCACACAGGTTACACAGTCAGTCAGCGGCAACAACTACGCAAGACTACATTTACTTTAATAGACTATTCTGCCCTATTATGCACATTGACCACCCATGGGCTCAGGAAAAGTCAGCAATGAATCAGAATTTTAAGATTATTTCTAGCACAGATGAGCCCAGGTTCAGATATGGCCACTCTGTACCACATTTGGTGCTGTCCAACTCTGTTATCAATTTGATATGCCATCTTTAAAAAAACTCTACAATATTTCTAATAAGGAGATAGGACCAGATCCAGGATAAGCAGTATTTGGAGTAGCTCAGAGAGAGTTTACACTCAGGTGTACAGTCTGACACTGGCACGAAGGTTAGTGTTGATTCAATGGAAATCTGCCAAGCTGTCACTTCTCTCTAAATGGGTGGAAAGTATTATAGCACATCACTCAAGTGGCTAAGCTGAGATGTCTGCTGATTTTTGTGAAGTCTGGAAACCTTTCCTCAACCACTCTAGGCGTACACGCGGAACGATTTAGTCGCCTCTCCGGCAGTTCCACAAAATGTGTGGTAATTTATAATAATTTATGCTCTTTAAGCTATACCTTTTGCATTTATATTAAAAAATGGTAACATAAGACAACCTGGTGAGGTTGTCAAAACCTGGTCGAGGTTTCCAAATGGAAAAAGTGGACATTTACCTTTTTACACCAAAAGTAATGTTTTTTAAACATGGGAAAACATGCTAAAAAAAAGGCTTTGCAGCAGATGAGTATGCCATTCTGTGTGTGTGTGTGTGTGTTTTACTGGTATTTAAATAAAACATAAAACATCATGGATAAGCTGGAAAACAGGTTAGTAAACAGTGGCATGCAGCATGGAGGCCAGTGGAAATGTTGCAGTGGTTACTTCCTTATCTATTCAGATCTCTTTCAAACTCTGCTGACTAATTTGGTGCGATGTTGGAGTGCTGCTTGGACAGAGACAGACAGAAATTAGCTAAAATTAGCATGTCCACCCCTGTGTTGTACTTCCATCACTGCCAGTGGAGGTTGATGGGAGCTGGAGCCGATAAATACCCGTGACCCGGGAGTGAATGCTAATTGTTAGTGTTTTTTTGTGTAGTGGAAAAAGGGCTATTGAGAAGCATGATCATGTGTGCATTTGTCTGTGCATACATTTCTACATCAGAGAAGGCACTGAGGCAAGCGTGGAGGAATAAAACGCCGGCTGCAATCCTAGCCACATGGATCTTCTCTATCAAGCATCCTGCTAGCCAATATAGACGAATTCGGCAAGCGATTAGTGTATGCCGCCATCTTGCGGCGGCGCCATTGCTGCGGTGACATGTGTCAGTCATCAATTCATTATGCTGTCAGTGTGAACTTACTCTCTGGCCTCCGGTAACTGATGAAGGTATCTTAAATGAGTACTGATATTAATATAGAGATTAATCATTTGTTTGAGCGATAAGCAGGAAAGATTAGAGTAATAGGGAGATAATAGACTGTATCATTAAACACTGTGTAATATAACGTTAGCATACGTTACGTGTGCTGACGTTAGCAAGCTAGCAAGGTGACATTTTATCATTATGGACATATGACCATCACATCATATTGAAGGCGATCAATATTAATCGCCTTCAATATAATGTGATGGTCGTCTAAAAGGCAGTGTAAAATTTGCCCGACCCATCCAGAGCTCAGGTAATTTGAACCACAATCAGAGACCTGTAATTGCTGTTTTTTTGGTCATTGGAGGCCAGGCAATCAATAAAATATTCTTGAATACCTAAAACAAAACACAAACACATGTTGTTGTTGTTTTTAGTCACATAGCCTGTCCATAATGATTAAATGTCACGCTGCTAGCTTGCTAACGTCAGCACACGTAACGTATGCTAACGTTATATTACACAGTGTTTAATGATACAGTCTATTATCTCCCTATTACTCTAATCTTTCCTGCTTATCGCTCAAACAAATTATTAATTTCTAAATTAATATCGGTACTCATTTAAGATACCTTCATCAGTTACCGGAGGCCACCGTCTAACATCATCAATCCAGCTATTCATGATGCTGTCATTGTAGAGAGTCAGTTCACATTGACATCATAATGAACTGATGACTGACACATGTCACCGCAGCAATGGCGCCGCCGCAAGATGGCGGCATACACAAATCGCTCGCCGAATTCGTCTATACAGACATTAGATAATAAACCTCAGAGCCCGCATCAGTTTCCAACTGGATATCAGGAAGTGGAATATCCTTTGTTTCACTTAAACTTGCCTAAAACCTTAAACACTGGACAGCACCATTCAACCAGTTTACTCTTTTTTCTAAATCCCAATCTTATAGAGAGAGGACTCTGACAGGAAACGGGAGGAGACGTGTGCATCATTGTGACTAATAAGTGGTGTGACAGTGGGAATATAAAATACTTTCTTGTTACTGCTCACCTGATCTGGAGTTATTGTCAGCCGAATGCATCTTTTTACTAAAGGAATTTACACTGGTCATTATCACAGGGGTCTTCACTCCACCATAAGCAAATACAGAGGCTGCCCTGTTGGATGTCTGCAAAGAACCACACAGACCAGTAATACTGATGCTGCGCTAAATGTTGCTGGAGACTTCGATCAGGCTAACCTTAGGAAGGTCATACCTAACTTCCATTATCCCATCAAAACTGAGGAATTGCTATTCTTACACCATAAACAGCATCCTGACACGAAACATGACTGTGTGGTATGGAGACAGCACCAAGTCTTTCAAGGCCTTTCAAAGAATGGTTCGTTCAGAACTTAACTGAAGGATGTTTACACCAGGCACAGCAAAAATAAGGCCAGGAGAATCATTAAGGATCCGAACCAATTAAATAGCAGCCTTTTTTCCCCTGTTAAGGTCAGGAAGAAGATACTGGTTACCCAAGGCCAGCACTGAGAGGCTCATGAAGAGCTTCTGCCCTCAGCCAATAGGATCCTAAATAAGAACACTGCCTTAGACTGCCTAAATCCAGCTAATACATTTTTTTTCTTACTGTTAAATAGTCACTGCCACATCTTGTATTCTTCATTAGAGTAGGTTATGATAAATCATCAGTGACATCGCATTTGATGGTTTGAGCTGCTTACTGAGTTACACCCGCAAGTGCATTGCTTGTTAGCACATGTAATGACAACACCACACTTTACGAGCATTCTGTTTTCTGTCTGTCCTCTGGGTTCTCAGAAAAGATTATTACTCTGGTATGAAAAAGCTCCAATTTTCATGATATATTATAAATAAAATGCCATGCCTAATATTATGTTGAAGGGTGTCATTTCTGGCAGTAATTTGACAACATGTCTGGCTTCAAAGGGGGACTGAAAAATGCAATCCGCATATTCCACGCAAAGAGGACATGTGTAAAAAGAACACAACAAGCTAAAGGCACTACATGAAAACTCCACAACCAAACCAGCAGTAAAGTGCTATGCACCATGTGTGTCAAAATCATTTTAGTAGTTTTATGTTGACTGACCTGGAAGAGGCGTGTGAAAATGTCGAACTCAAACACAGAGATGTAGTCGTTGCAGGTGAGGTCGATGGTGGATTTGAGAGCCATGGCCTCCAGGCCTGAGCTGATGGGATGCACTTCGTGAAGGCACTGTCGGAATACTTTCCACGGCACTATTGTCCTGCAAGAGAGCGACAAGTCGAATCATAAAAGTGAAAGCACCAAGGATTCACCAATTGTCACATTCAGGGCCAGTACTAATACCAATGCTTAAATTATTTTGGCTAATATCCAGTACCAATGTTTTACTGTTGTTGTTGCTGTTGATATTGTTTTTGTTTTTCTTTATTCCCCTTCTTAGTGCCGGGGAAACAAAGAAATCTTAATTAACTGCTGCACAATTCTAACTTTAATTGAACACATCATAATGTATCTCAATGCAACCTCTGTTAGCTTAGCCACTGAGTGCTAACAGCAAACAATAACCTTCTGGCCTCCTGCCGCTTTCAACACATATATGTATTTCATAATGTAGCATTATCAAGGAATAAACAGCATATGTCCCCATCAATAGTGGGTTTGCTGCATCCTGTTGTGTAGCGGGAAAGATCTCTGTTTGTCGATACCATTAGTCCCAATTTATAATTTATAGTCCCTACTTTTTAGCCTGTGCAAAAATTGATGTGACACAACAGAAAAACATCGGCCATTGCACCTGCGTCACCTTATTTGCTGGTAGGCCAATGGCAGCCAACAAGGCAGAATTCAGCCGATAATGATGTTTGGCCAATAAGTCGGTACACCCCTAGAAGATACAGCAACTTGTATGACTAAAAAATATTTAATCAAACAACACATCTTTACTGATATAAATATACATTTGACAGAGTGGAAGAGATTCTGTAGAACAAAAACTGCATGATAAGGAATGCAAATCCACAGCTGATTTGAAGATCTCACAGATAAGGTGAAATGTTTGTTCTGCTGATACAGCTTTTTTTGGCTTTAGATTAGATAAAACAATGAAAAGAAAAACACACGTTCTCTAGTGATATTCAAGTCTGGTGGTACAAACTGAGGAGGAATGAAGTGTCTCAATCACAACTGACAGAAAGTTGCCGTGGGAAATTAAAGTATCTGTTGGTGATGCCAAATGCCAAATTACCAGATGTTTGTGGTGACTGATCTGCAACCTCAGTGCAAAACACAACTAGTTTATCTCACACCATTTTATCTTCATTCCTTACAAAGTATTAAAACTTCCATTGCAGCAACAGAACAAAACTGAAGAACACTGTTACTGGGCAGCAACACAGACTCATTCAATTAGAAAACGGCACCTGCAGAGAGATTAGTGTATACTGTAGCACTAAACAAAGCCTTCCTGGAAAAAGCAACATGTTTTGTACATAAGCGAGGAAGGGGATGGTCACAGGTCTGTTACATCTGTTCCCCAGCTAGTGCTAAACCTAAACCCCATACACAGCATGTTATTAATGCTGTTGTTTTCATTTTATGATTTTATCTCAAGAGGCTGCACCTTATTGAGGTGGAGATAATACAGAGAAAACTCTTGCACCAAATACTTCTATTCTATTATCATTGCATTACAATGAGAAAAAAAGACATATATTATTATTTATTATTGAATGTATAAAATAAAAAAATGAAAGGTGTATTTTGTCGCCATATCAGCCAACTGATGTGAGCTCCATAGCTCAGTTATTGCACTGACACGATGACAAATGTGGCTCTGCAGCAAAAATATAAATGTGTGTTTCCACTGAAGGTGAAACCCTGAATCTCCACAAGGCCGACTGAAATGAGGAGTGGCAGCTCCATTATGAGGACATTTACAGAGGCTCAAGAGAAATGTCTCTTGGTGAACATTTCCTCCTTGCTCATCCCACCCAGTGTTTGAGCGCCAGGCTTTTAATTTTACCGTTCAGCCACAAGCATTCGAGTGTGGAGACGTGTCTTAGCTGAAAGCCCTCCTGCTATTCTTATGATTGTCTTCCTTATTTTAAATACAAAATATAGATGAACACATTAACAATAGGCCTGTCACAATAACTTTGCTGGATAATATATTGTCCTAGAAATAATTGCAATAAACAATATTACTGTCATTTTGAGACCATTTTATGCCACTGACATAATAATAATATAATTACAAGTACACCCTTTCAAAGATCAATGACATTTTAATTTTTAACAATACTCAGACATAAGAAATGGAACATGAAAAAAAAATTTTAGCATATGTTTAAAAAAGTAATTAACACCTGTTAATATATACAAGAAAGTACATATACTATAAAATTATAGTGTTTTCACAGAAGTAGCTCAAAATTACTTTATTTGAGATTTGATACAAAAGTTGACCACCAGAAACAAAACATTGTGATGCCTCTTGCAACTAAAAGCCAAACTTAGAGAAGCTCCGCGACCATCACAGTCGCTTCCATAATCCAGCCAGTGTGCTGCAGTCCGCTCCCAGGGATGGTCAGCCTGGGGAACAGGGCAGTTTGCTGGTGGACTTAGAGAGTGGACGATTTATTAGGTGTAAAATTACAAACAATGGACTTTTCAGCCCATTGCCGGGGGTGGCAAGCTACAACTATCAGGACTGCCTCTTTCATCTCTGAAATGTAGATGCAGGCTACCAGTAAGCTACACTGTGTCGTCTTTGAAGTGTTGTTTTAATTTTGACCAGATTCACATTAAGTAGGCAGGATGGAGGAAAAATTTTTTAAAAAAAAAGGCAGAATTGCTGTGCCCAAAATGGTCCTGAAAATGTTGATTCTGGCATCATTTTGCTAAAATATTGGTGGTATTTTTATGTTAACAAACCTGCTTGTAAACACAACGGGCGATATCAATGTCAGTAAAATGATCGAGCTCATGTCCATATATCATACAATAAATCGATAATGTAATTATTGTGACAAACCTAATAAACACTTAGTGGCTCCTTACATCCATCAGATCATTGTTAAATGTGATTCTAATATTGTTTTGTTGTTGCTGCAACACAATATACAACTAGGGCTGGATATAAAATAAAAATAAATAAAAATATTTCAGTCTGTATGAAACGAAAGAGTCACGAACCAAAAGTTATTATCAAATGCTTTGTCAGAAATGTTCTTGTGCGGCTGCTGGGTTGGGATTATCCCCGTTTGTGCCTCTAGTGTTTTACCATTACATTCAAGTTAAATAACTAAGCATCTGATTTTCGGTAAATCATTACCTGTCCATCTCTGACATACCAAAAGGTTCAGGCCTAGTCCACACAGACATGAATATTTTTGAAAACTGGGTTTTTCCCTTATTCGTTCTCAAAAAAATGCCTGTCCACACATGCCAAACCAACACACGGCAATACACAGTAACGATAACGCTAAAGCTACACGAAGAAGAAGAAGAAGAAGAAGAAGAAGAAGAAGAAGAAGCAGAAGAAGAGAATGTCAGCCAATCAGAAGTCTAACAAAAGCTATGACTAGAATACTACCTGGAGCAGTGACCTCTGTAGCACATTCTGACACCTTTGCCTCACAAAGGAGATAACACTCCGACATCACAATCCAAAAACTCTGTTTTCCCTGTCTCTGCATCAATACTGAAAATAGAGTTTCTGAACATATTTACCCTGGATAGAGTTTTACAAAGACCCATTTTCAGTAGGGATGCACCAAAATGAAAATTTGTGGCCGAAGCCGAATATTATTAAACGCTTGGCTGAATAGCAAGTACCGAATACCGAATACCGTTTAGTTTTTCATTAGTTTTTGCAGATGAACCCCCTCCAGATTAGTGTTGTCACGGTACCAAAATTGGGACCCACTGTACGATACCAATGAAAATATCATGGTTCTGAGTAGTATCATGATACCACAGTGAAAATGAGACAGATGTGCCTTTTGTCATTTATGAAAAGATAAATCACTTTTCTATAATACATCAATGATATTTCAATGGAATAAATTACTTATTGACTTATTCATACTTGGGGGGATCAAAATAAAATAAATAAATAAAATAAAAATCAACCAGCCACCCTCCTCCCCTGACAAGTAAAGAACAGTCCCTAAAGTGCGGTGAGGTTTGTGGGCCGTGAACGGCTCGTTTCTCCTCTGACACATCACATACCTGTGTTCGGCTGGCTCGGCTGTTCAGGTACTTCTGGGCAGTCCTGACACCAAGAATTGGATATTATTGGAACCGACTTCTCCGTCGCCCGGTAAGCCGATGGCCGCCGTATTTGACAGGAATACATTAACGTTACTGTCTGTGTCTGTGACCCCCGTTCAACCCACAATCGGTGGGATTCGCCTTTCGTTTCTGCTGCTGGTTGAAATCTGTAGGCTGCTCGCACAGCATGCTGAATGATTTAAGCCTATTTTGCTCGCTCAAAACTATTTTTAGTCGCAAATGCGAGTGTCGTGACGGACAGATCGCCACACTACCGACATTTTATTCCGCCCGTCACGGCACGCCGTTTGATTGCGTTATCAAAACGCCGCTATTATTCGGCCTTGCTTTTAACTTATTCCACCGAATACCGAATGTGTGTTTTTTTGCAATATTCGGCCGAATATATTCGGTTACCGAATATTCAGTGCATCCCTAATTTTCAGTGACCTGAAATGCAGTCTGCATGTGAACAAAAGGCCAAAATGAACAGAAAAGGCGACAAAGAACCTTGTACATATGGACAAGACCTCATTTAACAAAACTTACACTACACTGAAGATATTTTCAGAACCCTCGAAAAAGAGCAAGGACATGTGATAAAGTGACATTTCCTGCTAACTAGACAGGAAGTACAGTCTTAAATCAAGAAACAAATTAAAAATATTTCTCAAAGTAAGGCATCACAACAAATGTGTCAGTATCACGACTGAAATTAAATTGTTGTATTCAAAACAGTATGAGATGATGTCAAATGATTCCCAGCCGTATGTGCAACACAATGAACAGCAACATTTGATTTTAGAATCATAACATAACAGCCAATCCTGTAATAAGGCAAAGATGGTATATTATGAAATGGACAGCTGGAGTTTAGAAAATCAATCAAAGACTGTGTGCTACAAGGCCAGCTGATTGTATTGTGCTGCCATGATGATGACAGAAATAAACCAAACTGGACACAAGCTGGCGACATCACAGCAGCTCCTGAGCTACCAGCTGGAAGAGCTTTTAGTACGAACACACAGTCGGAGTTAGAGGAGAGGAAAATGAGCAGAGAGAGGGAGGGAGACAGAAGGGAAAAGAGACACTACAAGGACAGTGAAAGAGTAATGAGAGCGAATACAGCACACTTGAATGCTTCATGACAGCAGAATGCCTTTTGATAGTAATCAATGCCTTTAAACAACAACAACAAAAAAAGCAGCACAGTGCTGACGGGAACAGCCCTCACGAACTCAACGCTTGGCCGACCACAACTTTAATATCAACTCGCCTGTATGCATTAGCCTCACATACACACTGCTGTGTCTGACACCACCTTACTGGAACACAAACACACACACACACACACACACACAGAATAAAGTGATTAATTATGCTGCTGTATTAAGAATGGTGTATGCAAACGGTACTTCAAGAGGAAGCTGGTTATCCTGCACATATGAACCGTGTTTTGTAACATTAAGATATTTTACACATAGAGTTATTTGATTACAAAGAGCTCATGTAATGTACAGTAGGTAATATAGTTAGCTCATTTGCTGAACCTGACTATACTGAAATCTGGGACAACTTTGATTAAATGATTCAGTATGACCTTGACTAGGTGTAATTTATGGTGAAACTCCTTTAGCAAGTTCTTGCAGGGTGTGGGTCTCCCAGCAGTCCTCTCACAGTATTGATGACGAGCCTCCATCCTCTCCCCCTAACCACGGGAAGCTGAGGTTTGTAACAATCTATAATAGATTAGTCTTTGGAGTGGCTGCAAACACAGTGGACATCTAAACTGCAGTGAGGAACACATAGTCTCAGGTGGGATTTTTGTCTCAATTCACTCTTCTGCCAAGGATTTGACAAATAAAATAATACACACATGTACATATAACATGCAAGGTTTTATTTTGTATTTCTAGAGGTACATGTTTTTATGGACACATAAGAAATTGTCAATATGTCCTATTTCTCAAAGCGAGTTTGGCATAATATTTTCCACCAGGAGCAGGATTGGAAATAATCTTCAAAGAAATCTAGTGGGTCCTATAAACAGTGACCCTGCAAGATCCCTAGTTCAGTCAGGACCACTTTAGTCAAAGAAAACTTTATTTCCATTTGCAGTATTGTATTGGGTGGTATGGCTCTATTCTGGGGCCTCTCTGCCTTTCCTAGGCCTACGCAGAAAGCTTAAGGCAGAGAGAGCACACCCCTTCCACACGCAAAAAAGGAACGCCTGAGGAAGAAAGAGCAAACCGCCCTGCCCTTCCATGTGCAGCAGCAAAGCCCCCCTGGGAACAGAACAGAGCCAGTATCAATGACAAACAGAAATGACATTGATACGTAAGTCACACACAAAATGAAAAGGAGGAGCTGGGGTGGAGGTAGGTTGCAAAGCAGCTTACAGAGGAAGCAGCAACAGTAGGCAGGGTTCTTCGGAACATTCTGAAGCAGCATTATAAAGAGGAAAGCATTTCGTATTGTAAACAGCAGTGTGTTGGGTGAGTACCAGACAACTTGGCAGCAAGGATCATTAGGAGCAGAAAATCAAGAATTTCCTCCACTCTCACTTCAAAGAAATCCCTATTAAAATGCCAACTGCTATTGAAACAGCAGAATATTATGACTTCAGTTTGTCTTCACCTAACAAGTGAAACTATTGAGACTTTGTCACATGCAATACTGACCTGTTGCAGTCCATGGAAGTCAGCAGTACATAGGATAATACATTCACCAATATCAGTATCCTTGATACTACTGCAACATCACAACTAATAGGTGTACTATACAGCAACTGACAATAAAAATTTAACTGATTTATCGTAAACATGATATGGCATTTACATGCGCCAATCAATAAATGGAATAGTTCTGCATTCTGTGAATTATGACAATAATGTGCAATAAGGATATGTTCAAAACTGGGCTCCTTTCTCAGCACTACACCTACATATTTTACTGTATGACAAAAATAAGAAAGCTCTCATTTTGTGTTCTTGTGGTTTATTTGTTTGTTTTCAACCACCCCATTTAGCCTAATTGCCTGCATTTGGTTTTCTGTAGATAACGGACACATTTAGAGAAAAATAAAGCTTTTTAGTTTACTCCCTGTAATCTAAATTTAACTGTTTACTGGGTATACCAATATTCTGAAATCATTTAGGCAATACAGAAAGTGTTCCTCTACTTAGGGAATTCAGTAAATTAATATGGGACTCTTCCTTCATTAAATGAGACCTCTCTCTCCTACCCTGTAAAATGCTTCTTTTGGGGTTAGTTGTGGGCTAAATGCTGTTTGATGGTGCCATTATTACTCAAAGAACTACTGAAACCTTTAAATGACTCCTAACTTCTACTTAAAGTATAATTAGGGGTTCTTTAAAGCATCTTGAGCTTCCAAACACAACAAAGAGGCACTTCTGAGCTTTCAGTTTATCAATTAAAAAACACTGATGGAGCAGTTCAAACAAGAGCCTGAAACAGTACTGATAGCCTAGGCTCCTAAAACTCACAACTGTTGTCTTAACAGGAAATAAAAACAAACAAATCTGACTTCTGAGCCTGGCGGAAGTCTTATGAAAAAATATACTCTTCCTATCATATACATCCAAAATCAGAGCTGCAGTAAGAAGAGGGCTCCAAACCCCCTGATACAGACAGTGTAAGGTTGACTTTTTTTTTTTTTTGCAGATAAAGTGTCATGTATGGTTACTGGTAAGCCATACAGGAAGTGGTGAATCGAAACTTAAGCTATGTTCACATGAAACAATATTCAAAGTCATCAGATCGGTGAAGTGTTCACACTAGACAACATTCTGTCTTGTAATCAGGAGTCTTGAGTCACTGTGGTTGTTCACATGTCATGCCTATCCAGCAACAGGTCACTTACTACAGGATCTTTCAACAGGAGGAATCCCAGATGACTATGTCATGTGATGCATGAGTTGAACCACAACCCAGGGTCATGGGGGTGTGCTTACTAGCAAAATATTAAAGTCTGAAAGTGACAAAAAAGCATTCTGGTTAAGTTATTAGACTAACAACTTAAAGAAACATTGTGTGCAATAGTCCACCTTCCACCCTCTCCTCTCCTCTCTTTGTCACTTTCTCTCTCTCTCCCTCTAAAACACACACACACACCTTGAAAAGTGCCGCAGCAGTGCTTGTCTCTGTCCTCAACCCTTGTTGTGTGCTCTCACTGGCTGTAGCTCGCCGGCACAGTCCAGATATTAAGCATGCTAGATATCTGAGGAGCCTCTACGATGCACTTACGAACCCCTCAGCTCATGTCTTTGAATAGTTCAAACATGGCACATAAATGTCGATTTGTAAGTGCCAAGCCAACATTGATTTGTCTCTGATCTGAAGCTTTTGACAAGGAGCTCCAAAGCACTGTCAGCAAGGGGAAAATCAGGGCTAAAGGCCTTGACACACCAAGCTGACAGTCGGCCATTGGTCAATGAAAGGCCATCTGTGAGAGTCTGTTGCCCTAGTTTTTGCTGTGTGTCTTGTGCCATTGGTCCTTGTGAACTTTATTTCCAGCCAATTCTGCATGTTGAATCAGCGTTGAAAGCCCGAGCCCATCAGTGAATGAAGTCACTCTGATTGGCAGTTTGGCTCAGCACACAAAAAGAGAAATGGAAGTGAAGAAAGTAAAGAAAGAGGCATAGTCAAGAAGGAGTGAGATCAAAACAAACTTGTTACACAAGGTCAGATTATTTCTTTTAGCCATGAGCTCTTTAGCAGAAACATTTCGTGATGGTTTCTGTTATTGTTCACTGGCGCACAGTTAAATGTGCTTTGTTCTTTTAAGATTGGTGTTAATGTGCTAACTGGCTAACTAACATCGTGGCAGTCTTCCGATTTCCCTTTCTGAATGACAATTACTGACTGCTACAGTCTGCTGGTGTGGAGAGTTACTTCCTCTCACGCAGAATGTATGTGCTGGTTGGCTGTCAGTTGTAGTCTTTGTGGTGTGTTCATGTGCAACTTTTTGCCGAGACACAGGCAACATGAGGTAATGCAACAGTAAGCTTTCATCATTGCTAGTTCTTTGAAGTCAGTTTGGGGCATCTGGGCCTTAAAGTCATGTAATGTGAACTAGGCATTAGCGAGATCTGGCTGCCTTTACCTACAAATCGCAAAAAAAAAAGTATTTTCTCATTTAAGGAAGGCAAAATGTGAAGCTGCCAAATACAGCTGTAAACCAAAAATACTGTTTTTGGACTGATAAAGCTTAGCAAAAGGTGACAACATACAGACAATGTAAACTAGGAGAGCTTGGGTAAGCACACGTTAGCGCATGAGAGAGGTAATGACCTTGTCTCTGCTGTGCATGTTAGTAAAACAAAGATGGTCAAACACAGCAGTTGCCCTCTGCTCTCTGCATGCGTGCGTGCGTGCGTGTGTTATCAGTGCTCAGTGTGACAGTCTGTCACACCTTTCTTGGAGGAGCTCCAACATCAGAGCATCTCTTCCTCATGTCATTATATTGAGAAACAGAAAGCACATGTTTGAGCCATCAGGAAAGTGATAGTATCCTGGAGATGAAAAAACAGGAAACATCCACACACTGACATCATTTAGATCCTGATGGCAGCTTCTCTTTATCACATAATTCAATCTTCCAAAAAGGGGAGTGTCAACTCAGAGTAGCAAAAGAAGAGGCCAAAACAAGGTGAAGCTTACTTTTCTCCAAAAAATTTCCTCCAGAAGTCAGCGGCATCAGCTTTGGTGATCCTGAAAGTGTCCCCCTGGAACTGTCCTCCGGGAAAGATGGCTTTGATTTCAGCCAGCATGTGGCTGAAGATCAGAGACAGCTTGGTCAGGTTCCTCCTGCAGAGAAGAGGCCAGAACAGAGAGGAAACACTTACTACAATTATAGCTTCAAATGCTTGACACCATATGGAAATTATTTGACCATCAGAATTCTTGACATGTTTGCAAATTTGGTTGACTGCACATTTAGTGGTACTAGAACATAGAAACTACCCTTTCTGACACTGTCTCAGACCAATATACAATACTTCAAAGTACAGTGATGATTTACAAAAGTAAATCCAAACAAAAATGTCTCACAAAATATAAAAAAAGAAGCCTTAATAAAATAAAAGTAAATTGTTGGTTATCTGTGTTATATCATGCATCTATATCACATCCATCTGTCACATGATAAATTAAACTGAATATGAAAAACTGTCCGTGTGTTTTCTCACTCAGGAAGTGTTGTATATGACACATGATGTGAGAAAGGTCACACTTTTGACATTCAGAGATAATTCTGTGATTAATTCAAAACCAAAGCCAAGTCATGTCATTTTCCAGCCTGCAAAGTTGCTTCTGCAACTTCCAGACCTAAAATGTCACAGTCACAGCAGGGCTCAGTTCAATCAACTTGGTATTGCTTGTTTCAAACTATCTTTGACTGTAATTACTCCTTGTTAGCTGTCACACCAGCCAAAATGTTTGATTGCAGTTGTCGTGTTAAGGGGAAGTCAAGTTCACTTAATTTCTACCCTTGCACAAAAACAATCCAGTCTGTTTGGGCGTGTACCATTGCTTCTGAAAGCCAGAAAACATACTATAACCCTTTAAATGTGATTTAGGATGTAAGATCTCGCATTGCAACGAATAACCTGCTGACTTTGTTAACTCAAAGGACCTTTAAGGAGTTCTTGCACCCATAAGTGGTTACATCTATTAAGCGACTACTGCATACAGGGCACAGTACTGTAGACTACACAGTATTTGCTTTAATGTGGTATTTAAACAAATGCTTTACAATAACACACCTGTACCTTGTCATTGATACACACTCACACTTACTATTATTATTAAACAAGTATAACTTGTAGTCACAAATCTAACATTATAGTAGATTGCATTGTATTATCGCATCTTATATTATTACTACTACACTGAATCACAGGATAATAATCATTACTGTACATGCATTATCATGTATTTATCTATTTCCATGGCATATATATGTAACACTTATGTAATAGTACAGTGTGTATATTACATATACTGCACATATATTCAACATAATATATTTACAATACATTTTTATATATTATCTTTATTATTCATACCTATATTTAAAATGTTATAACATAGTCTAAAGTATTGTAATGTATATAATATATATTGTTTTTGAAAGCTGCAAATTCTATGAATTCTGATTTTTACTTTGACCTATTATTCAAATAGTTCATCTGTTTTATTAGCTTTTGGTCTCTTTGCTGCTGTCATGTGTTTTTCTTCAGAATCATTACAGTATCATATGTTATCTTAATGTTAGGTTTATTTACAGAGCACATTTAAAAAATATAAATGTCCCTTTTGTGTGAGGGGCAATGGTGCAGGACACACTGCACATACAGCCTAACTTTGAGTGACAGCTGACTGCTGGTTTGGTGTGTCAGGGCCTTTACACTACATGCCACATTTACCTATTCACACACACATGCATACACTGGTGGCTGAGGCTACCATACAAGGTGGCATCTGCTCATCAGTTAAACATTAACACGCACTCACACACAGATGGCACAGCCACTGGGGGCAATTTGGGGTTCAGTATCTTGACCAAGGATACTGACCAAGGGAAAGCCCGCCTATCTTCTGATTAGTGGATGGCTGCTCTACTCCTGAGCCCAGGCTGTCCCAAATTTGAGAAAATGTTTTATCTTTGACCACCAAATTCTAATCAGTTAATCCCTGAGTCCAAATGGACGTTTGTGCCACATCAAAGAAGTTTTCCTCAGGGTATTCTTAACGTATCAGATTCTTGAGAACAGACTGACAGACAGACAGACAGACAAAGAACCAGAAAACTTAATCCCTTCAGCTGCAGCTGTTGCCAGTGTGGAGGTAAAACAATGACTACTAAGTTTACACTGCTGGAGCAGGATCATCTGTAAAGGAAATACAGCTATGAAGTAACATTAAACTGGCAGTGGTAGAGTCTTCATCAAATATTTCACTTCATAATTTGGTGTTTTTCATTCCATTTCCATTCCATCTTGATAATATACAAACATGAATTTGCATTTAAATTACATTAGTAAAACTGAGTTGAGTACTGCCGTAGAAGGAGAGATAATTAAAGCCTTGAATTTTCAGAAGTGTAGTTTACTGTTGAAATTACAGCTGAATCGGCTGCGATATGGATAGTGGAGTTTAAGCTTACAGCCACATTTAAATGAGCAATTCCTAAATCCTCAAGGAAGTATGGAAGCACACTCCAGGAGGGTTTTTTTTTAGCTTATTCTTTGTAAAGTGTTGGTGACTCCCATCTCCCTCTCCTCTGGGACGGGGATTTGTCTAGCTGTGAGATTAGACTGTAGGCTCGTAAACACTCCCTGGTAACACTCAGGCACACACACAAGACAGGGTGACTTTGCCCAAGGTGTGAGTGTGTGGGACAAAGACAGCACACTGGCTGTGGGGTGCTGATAACAAGCTTTGTGTGTGTGTGCACATGTGTCTGTGTGTGTGTCTGTGTGTGTGTTTTGTACCTGAAGCACATCATCCAAACTTTTAATTCTTCTTTCAAACGTGAACAAAAAAAGTTTTGTTAATCACACCTCTGTGATTCACCAGTGTCACAGAACAATAATTCAACTGAATTTATCATTTTAAGTACACGTATTGTTTGGGTAATGAGGGTGTGTGTTGTTTCATATTTTTTTTCAATTATCAATTCAAATCTGATATAAGCTTACTGACAGTGACACAGCCTCAATAATAGTAAGAGATGATAACACTTTAGTGGGTCTTTAGCGTGACAATATTTCACGATAGCTTTGTCTCAGTCCTCACAGCTATACTTCTAATATCGGCCTCAAAATCTCACATAGAATGGGAGGGGGGGCAAATAGATACTGCATAGTATCGCGATATTTCGCATGGCAATATTGTATCCATACATGGGCACTGAGTATCGATATTTTATTGTATAAAATATTAATGCTGCATATACAAATCAAACTTTTAGCAGCTTACTAGAATAATAAAATCAATTGCTTTTTCAGTCCAATAGATTCATTTTGCTGCAATAAAAAGAATCAAAGTGAGACTGAAAACTTTAATTTATTAGATAAAAAAACAGATGAAGACAAAGTTGTTTCTTAATTTGTAGTTAAAAAAAGGCAATATGTTTTCGCAATACCCAGCATGTTGCAAAACATAAAAATATAGTAATAGTAATAACAATAAAAATAATAATAATAATATAAAGGCAAGATAATAATTCAGAAATATAACAATAACAATAGTATTGTATGATGACCTAAGTATCATGATAATATTGTTTCGGGGGCCTATAGTGATTCCCACCCCTATCACATAGTGCACAAAACTTATCAGGACATTTTTTTTATCATAGCATTATCATAACATTTTTCACATCACTGTAAATATTATCAATACATTTTAATTGTTGTTGCTTTTTAAATTAAAATAATCATTCTCAAATAATGCTGTCAAACTAATTAATATCGTACTAATATTCAGCAGGATTATACTAATATTATGGGAAAGAAATGTAATTGAAAGGATGTCATTTAATAAGAGTGACTTGAAACTTTCATTGTATTTATTGAAAATGCCATAATTCTGTAACTATAGTTAACATGGTCTATATTTAGACTCACTGTCTACACTTTAACTTACATATTCTCAATACTTTAATTTCTCTCTGACTATGTTTATTACAGATCAACAGAATTATATTTTATACAGGTGTTTTATACTAATGGAGCTCATCATCACTGTTGACCATACTGTACTTATTTTTGTTTTTCACAAAAATACACACTCAATACATACAGACACACACACACACACACATACACTTATTAGATATGACAAGGTGCTTATTGTCAGACTGTTACTTAAGCTTAAACAGATGTGTGTTCAGTGAACACACCAAATCTAAATCACTTTTTTTTTTAACTTATTGCTTTGATGCCCTGGCATGTGGCCTTTGAGCCCTCAAAAAATGACCTTGCTTCTAAAAGGCCTAGTTACAAGTCTGGTGTCAATTCAACTTAATAGGAAAGCTGAATTCATGGAATGGGATTAGATTTTAGTTTAGATTTTAGTTTGATTTGTAAATAGATACTATGCTTTTTGAACTTTTTTCAGACCCTATTAAAATCTGTCTGGTAAAGAAAATACTTGCTTAAAGGGATAGTGCACCCAAAAATGAAAAAGCCATGATCTACTTACCCATATGCCAAGGGAGGCTCTGGTGAAGTTTTAGAGTCCTCACAACACTTACGGAGATCCAAGGGAGAAGTGGGTAGCAGCACAACTGCACACCTAATGACTGACGGAGACCCAGATTAAAACGTCCAAGAACACAGAATTGAAACCATAAAATATCTCCATACTGCTCGTCCGTAGTGCTCCAAGTGTCCTGAAGCCCCGACATGAAAAGTTGTTTGGAAAAACGTCATTTGAACTCTGTTTTTAGCCTCATTGTAGCCTGTAACTCTAACTGCATCTCTGTGGACCATGCTTATGTGTGCACGTGAGCAGTATGGAGATATTTTATGGTTTCAATTCTGTGTTCTTGGACGTTTTAATCTGGGTCGCCGTCAGTCATTAGGTGTGCAGTTGTGCTGCTACCCACTTCCCCCTCGGATCTCCGTAAGTGTTGTGAGGACTCTAAAACTTCACCAGAGCTTCCCTCAGGATATGGGTGAGTAGATAATGGCTGAATTTTCATTTTTGGGTGAACTATCCCTTTAATAATATAATTATTCTATATTTTTCTTTTTGTCAAGAAATCATGTGCGCAGATCCAAATGAACAATCAATTAATC